ATTTATTTTTGGCTGCGTTGGGTCTTCGTTGCTGTGCGCGGGCTTTCTCTAGTTGCGGTGAGCGGGGCTACTCTTCGTTGCGGTGCGCGGGCTTCTCATTGCGGTGGCTTCTCTTGTTGCGGAGCACGGGCTCTAGGCGCGTGGGCTTCAGTAGTTGTGGCGCGCAGGCTTCCGTAGTTGTGGCGCGCGGGCTTAGTTGCTCCGCGGCATGTGGGATCTTCCCGGACCAGGGCTCAAACCCGTGTCCCCTGCGTTGGCAGGTGGATTCTCAACCACTGCACCACCAGGGAAGTCCCTCCCCCTCTTTTTATTTTAGCTAGCTTGAGTGGATTCCATTCTTTGCAATCAAGACTCCCTACCAAAACACAAAACATATTGGGGGCCCATTTTATAAAAACCACCTCTAAACACCACTCTCTTTACTTGATAGCAAGTTATTTCCACTGCCTCCCATGGCCTGTGGGAGGAGATGGAGACCGATGGGTTTCCAAAGCCTAGTGTTCCCCAAAGGCACACCTGGAACCACAGCACCATCCTCTCCCAAGGGGGCCGGCAGCCCTGCTCCTCCTCAGCACGAGCCAGGCAGGTAGAGCGCAGATGAACTGAACAGACTCCCCCATCTCTGGATTCACTCCCAGGCCCTCCCCTCCGTCACCAAACCACACACGCTTCCTCCGAAAAGAAGCATCAAGAGGCTGCTCTGCACCGCGGCTACGAAAGCAACCACTAGACGCACGCACCTGCCTGTGCTGCCTCCTCTTCTTTTATCTTATTTTCTACTGATAGTGACGCAGTGCTAATAGTAATGTGACCGGCAGGACCCTACGGAGCCTTCCTGGGACAGGCCTCCCCCGTACCCTCTGCTTCAGCTCCTCTCTGAAGGACCTACGTAACAGTATTTGATGCACGTTTCCTGAGTTGTTTTGCAGATGTGAAAACCCCCCACCAACGGAAGATGTTAACTACTGGGTGACCTAAGAACGTAGCCCCAGGCCTCCTGGAGCCCAAGGACTGATCATGTTAACCCCTGTGACACCGCCCTGTTACCTCACCATCAGCCAATCAGAGAACTGTGCACGAGCTGATCACAGACCCTGCGACACCCTCCCTCGCCCCCCCCCACCCCCGGCTCCCTCACCTGGCTTTTAAAAGGGCTTTGCTGAAAGGCTTCTGGGAGCTCAGGGGCTTTTTAGAGCACGAGCCACCCGTCCCCTTGCATGGCCCCGCAATAAACCTTTCTCTGCTCCAAACTCCGACATTTGCATTTGGCCTCACGGCGCATCAGGCACATGAACTTGTGCTAACAATAATAGCGTTAAACCAGCAAACAGAATTGAACCCACAATACGCCCGCGGACTGTGGTTCCCTTTTTCTAGAGTCTGCTCAGTCTTCAATGTGCAAGAATAAAGCTCCCCAGGCACACAGGAGCCTTAGGGGCAGGGCTCCGCAAGAAGAATTAAAAACTGGACTGGGGGTTTCAAACCCCCAAATTATACCTCAAATTATAAACATGGCTCAACTTCTGTACCTCAAATGATAAACCTGGCCTGAAAACTCACCAACCTGTGTAGAAACACTACAGTACACTGACACGGGGACCATCTCAGAAAATTCAGGACCTATGTCTGTACTAGGTGTAGGCTAAGGAGATGTCTGAAAAGGGAAGAGATAGGGGGAAAAATCAAGCCCTGTTTTCTAGGCAATTAATCCACATCTCTGCTTAGACCAACTCCCCAGCCCTGTGGACTCAAGACCGCACAGCAGACATGACTGTCAGCCAAGGACTGATCACAGAAGGATGACACAGCAATCCTTTCCTCATGCTCCTTTCCTTCACCCAGCCCCACTCCCCTCCTTGCCCCTCCCCTCTGGCCTTGAACCAGAGGTTCCTAAAGGGGCTTTCTTGCCTATTCCTGGGGTCCCCTCCCCTACTTCCCTACCCTATTCCTCCCCCTTACCGGCCGGCAGCTGTCTCCACAGGGCTTCTGAGAGCACTGGGCCACACGCAGGCCCATCACGGCATCCTCCAGGTCCGTGCAGGTGCACACGTCACAGCCCTCCTCCCAGAACTGGCCCACGGGGTAGATGGTGCCTTGGTGGACACACACCTGTAGACACAAGGTTTCCAAGAGTGAAGTGACTCACTTCATCTAAACAAGAGGTGAGTAAGCATCTACGGCGTGTTGGAAGCTACTCTAGGTGCTGAGACTACAGCAATAAATGAAAGCAACATAGTCTCTGCCCACGCGAAGGGATGCTTACATAGTAGAGTTTGCCCTCTTCCCTCCCCTGCCCACCTGCCTTAGGAAGGTTCACCCTGGGAGTGGCTCCTTTTGAGTCCTTCGAGGCCCTCAAGTGGGGATGTAACACACTGGCCGCCTTGACCCACTATCACTGCTGCCTTAACTGCATTTAACTCCTTCCTGGGTCACACGGAAAGCTGCACCCTCATTCTCAGACCCAGTAATGTCCTTGAACTTGGAACCCACCCACGTATAGCCCTCTGTCCCATCAGGAGTGGCTGAAGGTGAGGGAAGGGTGGGCAGGGGTTATGAAGGAGTGTTCCCTTGATGCCCACCAATGACAAGGAATGTATCAAGAGAAGACAGAGCGTGAGATGTGTTTGAGAGACAAGGGATCCTGTCTGGAAGAACTGTAGGCTATGGAAGGAATGTGGGACATGAGATCCCAACGGTTGGTTATGATTAGAATCGTAAAGCCTGGGATGCACGTGATATACAACGCTCAGACTTTATTTTCTAGTAATGAGGTACTAAAGAAACTCTTGGATCATGAGGCTTAGAGGCAGGTTTTAAATTACCCCAAGTGTGTCCTCTGAAGCTACAAACAGGTCTCCACGTTTATTCACATAGTAACGGTGCACATTTTTAAACCATTTTCCTATACCTGCTCAGTCTTCCCGCTTTTGTACAATGAACTCAGCGAATGAGACCCCTGGTTCTTGGATTAAGAAGCCCCCCTAAAAAGTGTTACTGCCCAGAATCCCACTTCTAGGAATCTATCCCAAAAGACACTCTGGCAAAAATACAAAATGACAGATGCACAAGGCTGTTGCAGCATCACTAGTAACAGCAAAAGGCTGAAGCCACTCAACTGTGAGTCCATATGACTGAACCAAGATGCATCCTTGCCGTAGGTTACTAAGCTGTGAAAAGGTGTAAGGCAGATCTCCATATACGGACAGAGGATAATTCTACTATAAACTGTTAGATGAAAAAATACACATTCAAAACAGAATTTATAATACGCTACCCTTCTGGGGAGAAATAGGAAGCAATATAAATTTATAAAATGTGCTTATATTTTCAAAAAGAAAGATAGATGGGTACACCAATGAAAATGATAAATTATGAAGGGAGAGAAGGAGCGAGGTAGGGAAAGTGAGGGTAGAGGTGAGATTTCTGGGAGTGCATCGTTTTACAATTTAGGTTTTAGAGTCATTCATGCGTTTCGAATCATCTATGGCACCCAGCCATGCTCAGAACGTGGTAGCGTCTCTGTAAGTACCGCCTGAGCTAATTAGATTTAGGCTGAGATGGAATGCTGATGCCCCTTCACTGGGCCACACAGCACTCGTGTGGGCAGGAAGGCAAGGCTTCCACAGCACCATGTATCTGGCCATTGTCCCAGCTGGAGCTGAGCAGCCCCTACCTTATCAGGGAGGCAGGTGGTGGTGGTGCAGCCGCAGTCATTGGTGACGGTGGAGGCCAGGTACCCCAGTGGGCAGGTCACCGCCGAGCTGGTACAGTTGCAAACACACTTATACTCATCACAGCACTGGGTCTTCTGAAGGACCGGCGTCCGGTGCGGGGCACAGGAGGGCGGGGACCCCCTTGGGCATTCCTCCTTCCTGCAGGCTGAGGGGCAGCACGAGGTGATGCCCCGGTCCTGCCACACTGAGCCCTGCACTCAGCCTGGGTTCCTAAGCATTCAGCTACGATATAAGGTCCCAGGGAACTCTAGCCCCAGAATATTAAGTCAGAAACACACGGGGGCCCAGCTCAGGAGCTGAGGGATAGTCAATCATACCAAAAAGTGGTTAGTCTGCAGAAAAATAAGAAAACTAACCCAAAGGAGAAATATGAAGCTATTTCAATGGAGAAGCTAAGGCTGCTAGGCTCCACCACCTTCCCGGGCACATCTGGAAGGGGTGGGGTCCCTCCAGCTGCAGATACTCAGAGATGACTGGTGTAGAATCTCTAAGACCCAGCGAGCCCTGGGCACATAGGTACTGGTTAGCATTTTTATAAGCTGGTAGCTTATGAGATCCTATCCCCAACCTCAGTACCTGGAATAATAAATGACCTACAGTTTTAGGTCCTCCAACAATGATGAATGAAAAATGACAGCAATCTTGTCAAATCCACAATGCCCTTTTATCACTGCCAAATCCCATCCCATGCCTTTGCCTGTTCCCAGCTTTCTGCAGATACACTGTGCTCTCCCGCACTCAAGGGTTTTCATCTCAGAACTCGAGTGAGATTCTCAATCAACAGGATGAGAAACGGGTAGTGACTTAAAGTGGGTATTCTTAGTAACTAAATACAGAATTCAGCTTCTTGACATGTCCAGAAGCTGTCTTTAGTCCAACCCTATGCTTAAATTGTAGTATTTAGAAATTAAATACATAAACATACAGAGGAAGAAAAGTCTATAAATTTATTTGGGAATAAGATCCAGTGATTTGAACAAACCAAGGGTACATTCCTTCCCCTCCATGGCTTATGGGAGGGTGGGAGAAAATAAAGATTAGATCTGGAGGCTTCTTCATCTCAGGTCCAAATGCCATCTAATAAGCCCAAAAGGGGGATGCCTGCAGCTGTGTCCACACCCCGTTCCCCATCGTAGCCTGCGGCTAGGAGGAGTCTTAGGGCATTCAGTCCACGTGTGACCCTGACCCCTTTGTTCTAGACACACCCCAAGCCCAGACTCAGCTCACTAGAATACAGGATGCCTTCCCAGACCAGGGGACAGTGACTGCACCGCCCGTCCTCACCCACAGAGGGAGAACTTACAGCAGGTGAAGTTGGGTCTGCACTCGCCGGGGTTGGTCAGTGTAGGCTGGAGGCCACCTTCGCAGTGAGGCACCGGGGGCAGGTCACAGCTCACCAGGTCACACACTGAGGGCCCAGAGAGAGAGAGATGTGCACTCAGAATTCAGCAAGGCTACTCTTGTGCTAGTGAGTGGCTCCCTACCCTACATTCCTACTCACGCAGACCTTCACTGTTTCACGTATGTGATGGTGATAAATTGAAGGCAGAGCTAGAGATGGAGATAGAGGAAAAGATACAGGAAGATGAAAAGAGGGGAAGAGATGGAGATAGAGATGGAGATACACGGACAGGGAGGGGGCGGGGGGAGGCGATGATAGATAGACAGACAGATAGATGATAGATACAGATACATAGATTGGTAGACAGATAGGAAGACAGATAGGTAGATAATAGACAGATAGATGATAGATACATAGATAGACAGATGATAGATACATAGATAAATAGACGATTGATAGATAAACAGACAGTAGATAGATAATAGATAGAAAGATGATAGGTAGATAGATAGATAATAGATAGATAGTAGATAGATAATAGAACGACAGATAGATAGGAAGGTAGATAGACAGATAGATAGATACAAGCCATGTTGATTACTCTTGTCATCTGCAGGGACTCCAGATCTCGGCCAATCACTTGAACCCTCTAGACCTCAGGATCATCTTCTGTAAGGTGGGCAGTCTACCTCACAGCGTCGGTCTATTGATGTCTTGAAATAATGAAGGCAAAGTGCCTGGCACGTTGGAGAAGCTTCAAAATGTCCACAAAATGAGGGCTTTGAACTAAATGACCCCCAGTTCCCTCCACTGTTAACATCTTAAGACCTATTTTCACTAAATTGTTCTCCAGTCAGATTCGCCCCTCACTCCCGCCCCACCACATAAGGCTTCTCTTTATCCCTGATAAACTTCATCAGCCTAAAGCAATGTCTCAGATGATTTCTTTTTTAGATCCTCAGACTGTCTTGATCTATCTGCTCTCCCTCAAAGGTTTCATCGCCTCAAACTTCACAAGCCTGTGCTTTATGTCTTCCTCTGTACAATTAACAAACGCCTGCGACAGGACGGGGACAAAGCACTAGAGACTTCCTGCCGTGTTTCTCAGAATTCCATCAGCTCTGGATTCATTTAATTATACCGTTATTCAGCCCATTATTCACGATGCAGGTTGCAGGCCTATAATGAAACCCTTTGACAAATAACGTGTTGAAGTCAAGGTGCCCATGTGTGGCCTTTTCTACAGTTACTCTGGCATAACTGGCTCTGCAGTAAATCCCTTGCACCTCCCCCACCAGTGATTACCCCATTCTTTTATTTTTGGGGTACCGTTGATAACAATATTACATGTTTCAGGTGTACAGCACAGCGATTCACAATTTTTAAAGGTTATACTCCATTTATAGTTGTTATAAAATATTGGCTATAGTCCCTGTGCTGTACAATATACCCTGGCAGCTTATTTATTTTATACACAGTAGTTTGTACCTCTTACTCCCCTGCCCCTATCTTGCCCCTCCCCCCTTCCCTCTCCCCACTGGTAACCACTAGTTTGTTCTCTACATCTGTGAGTCTGTTTCTTTTTTGTTATATTCACCAGTTTGTTGTATTTTTAGATTCCACATATAAGCGCTATCATACAGCATTTGTCTTTCTCTGACTTCTTTCACTAAGCATAATACCCTCCAAGTCCATCCATGTCGCTGCAAGCGGCAAAATCTTATTCCTTTTCATGCCTGAGTAGTATTCCATTGCATGTATGTACCCCATCTTCTTTATCCATTCATCTGTTTTGTGGGGGTTTTTTCCTATTTTTTGGCCATGCCACGTGGCACTCGGGATCTTAGTTCCCCAACAAGGGATTGAACCTGTGCCCCCCGCGATGGAAGCATGGAGTCTTAACCACTGGACCACCAGGGAACTCCCTATCCATTCATCTGTTGATGGTCGCTTAGGTTGCTTACATATCTTGGCTGTTGCAAATAATGTTGCTGTGAACATTGCACCCCATTCTTTTTTAATGCTTTCAAAACTTAATTTAATAAGTCACAGCAGAATCTTTCTAGGAGACAAATCCTATTTTCCAGAGGCTGCTCTCTCCAGGTTTTGGAAAATCCACACCCTGCTCCTGACCACGAGCCCCTTCAGCACCACCATCTTGGCCCCCTCTCCCCAGGGCGGGGCTGGGGTTGGACCCCGAGAAATGCCACGGGTGACACATACCACACTCGTACTCGGGGCAGCACTGCTGCGTGCTCTGCCGGAGACGGGCCACCTCGCACGGGCCGCACGCAGGCGCTGGGGGAGAAGAGGCCGCAGAGGTCAGAGAAAGAGACGGCGGTACCCACTGCAGACCCTCGGCAGCGGGAACCAGCCAGGCCCGCTGACCAATGAGTCTCCCAGTGTGTCCTGCTGTCCCCTCAGACGCACCCTCGGGAGAACGAGGCTGAGGGCCAAGGAGGGGACAGCAGGGCAGGCACACACACACACACACACACACACACACACGCATACACACACACACACACACCCGCCCCCGAGAGCTCTACCCCCGTGCAGAAAGGGGAGCCCAGCCCGGCGAGGCAAGGAGGGTGGGGCTGGCGTGGGGAATCCACGTGTGGATCTGGTCCACCAGGTCTGAAGACAGGGTGGCCTCGGGGCCTGGAGGGAGCCCTAGGGAGGGGCCTCACCTCTGGCTGTGGGGCAGGGCTGTGTCGTGCAGTTGATCTTCCGCCCGCTGAGGCACGTGCAGATCCGGCAGGGCTGGTGGTCTGGGACCCACGTTTCCAGAAGCTGAGGGAGAACGAGGTTCAGAGAGGGACCAGGAGTTCATGGAAGTTGGGTCCCCCCACCCCTGGCTCTGTCTCCCTGGGGGGGACACCCAGTGCCCGAGCCCCGCCTGGGTCAGAGCTGCACAGGTGAACCAAGACAAGCTGACAGACGCTGAGGACCCTGAGGAGGAGGCAGCTGGAGAGGCCTGGGGTGCCTGGGGCACCCACACTGCTTCGTACACTCGGGGGAAGGGCAAGCCCCAGGTCTCAGAAAACATGGAGCTTTCCTCACAGCCCTTCTGATGGTGACACTAAAACAAAGCAAGGCGAGAAAATGAGGACTCCTGTGTCACCCCGCCAGCCACTTCCCAGGCCAAAGGAGAAGCTGGGCTGCAGCTTGAGAAAGATGCCACTCATTTCTGCAATGGACTTAAGACTATGTGGCAGGAAGAGCTGAAGGGGGGACAGCAGGACTCTCAGAACCCTCACATTGTTGGGACTGGTGGTGATGTTCCAGACCAGGGTGCAGTTTCCAGGTGAGGGTCACCAGGGCAGCAGGCATCCCCACTGCACAAGGGCTTCAGAGTCAGGAAGCCCCCCAACTCCTACGTCGGTTGGCTTCACCCTCCGTGCCACTGCCTGGTCTCCTCCCAGGCGAGGGGAGGGCCCCCCAGCCTGCCTCCCAGGACTGTGCAAGAAGCAGGAGGCGGGGAAGAGCACAGATGGGACTGCAGAGCCAGGACTGGGTCCCTCTGGGCTCGGCCGTCAAGGGAAATCCCAGTGAAGTCACCCCTGAATAAATGCATCCTCATCCGGCAGCTCAAAGGCCGCTAAAAAGTCCCCAGGCCAAGAAGGTCTTACTTATTCCGTCCGCTTCCATGGTCCGCAATGAGCATCTGCCGTGGACAGGGAGAGAGATGGGACATCTCCGGGTAAAGCACCCCCCCGGCCTGCCCGGCCTCCTGCGGGATTAAACCTTGGATGCTTCCCTTGACACCTTCTGCTGCATCCATGTAACCGCCCACATCTGAGCGGCAAGTGTCACGTGGCGCGGTTTAAGGGCTTTACGTAAACTACTCATCTAATCCTCACCGCAGTCCCATGACCGGGACATTCTTAGTTATCCCCACTTGTCCAAGGAGAAAGCGGAGGCACTTGCTCGGGGTCACGCCGTCTCAGTGCAGAGATGGGATCTGGACCCAGAATCCACTTATTATCGCTGTGTTCTGCTGCCTCCCGGTAATAAGTAGCATTAAACATGTTCAAGATATTTCCCCACAGGCTTTACAATGCCTCATCGTATGTTCCTTCTAGAAACCCTAGGGGGTGAGTATGACCATTACTTACACTGACCAGTGAGAGTGGGGCACAGACCAGGAGCTCGACCGGGTGGCACAGCCGGGGTCTGGACCCGGCATCCTGGCCCTGCACACCACATGCTCTCTCTCCAAACCACAGCCGCCAGGCTCAGCCAGCCCGCTGAGGGGCTGTGGGAGTGCCAGGTACTGGGTACACTGTCCCAGCCCTCGAATGGCTGACGGTCAAGCCGAGGAAATAGGACTTGCCCGTGAAAAGGTGAATGAGATCACTCAATTTTGATGCATCCACACCACGGAATACTACTCAGCCATGAAAACAAACTATGGAACGTACAGTGTGGATGGATCTCGAGAGTATTACGTTGAGCGAAAGAAGCCAAGCAAAGAAGGAGTAATACTGCATGAGTCCATTTACATAAAATTCCAGAAAATGTAAACGGATCTATAGTGACAGAAAGCAGACCAGTTGTTGCCTAGGGATGGAGGTGAGGACTGGGGGTGTATTAAACAGGGGCATCAGGGAACTTTCGCAGGTGATGGAAATTTCATTATCTTCATCGTGATGACGGTTTTTACAGATGAATGAACTTGTCAAAATTCATCAGATCGTGGGCTTCCCTGGTGGTGCAGTGGTTGAGAGTCTGCCTGCCGATGCAGGGGACACGGGTTCGTGCCCCGGTCCGGGAAGACCCCACGTGCCGCGGAGTGGCAGGGCCCGTGAGCCGTGGCTGCTGGGCCCGCACGTCCGGAGCCTGTGCTCCGCAACGGGTGAGGCCACAGCAATGAGAGGCCCGCGTACCACACACACACAAAAAAAAATTCATCAGATCGTACATTTATATTTGGCGCTGTTTACTGTCTGTGAACTCTCCATAAAGGTGATTTTTAAAATAAAAAAAGAGTGCCAGGAGTGCAAAAGAAGAGTTCACTAGGGCTGTGGGCTCCAGAGAGGCCTCACATCCTTGGGGACGTGGCCACTGCAGGAGGCTGTGCTTAACCTGGCGGGCAGGGTGCAGCCCTGAGGCCCTGTAAGCAGGACCCGCCTCAGAGGGAAGAAAGTTCAACAAGGACAAGCCTTGAGCGGGTGCCAGCGAGCGGGTGGAGAGGGGGTGACGAGGACCAGGAAACAGAACAGAGGCTGCAGTGGCTACTGTTCCAGCTTCTCCAAGGGGCTGGGAAGACCCAGGGAGGGGCACAGGGACAGGCGAGGCTGGGCATAGCGGAGGAAGGCGGGGGAACTCACACATCTCCCCAGGTCTCTCTCTGCTCTGCCTCTTTCCTGCTCTTTTACACGGATGGTGATGCCAAGAAAACCATAAATCAAGGGATTTATATTTAGACGTTTAAATGACAAAAGTGATGAGATAAGAACGGAGATATATATTTATATATTAGGGGTTTCTTTTCTCTCTTTTTTTTTTTTTTTTGGTTGCACTGGGTCTTAGTTGCAGCATGCAGACTCCTTAGTTGTGGCACGCGAACTCTTAGTTGCAGCATGCACGTGGGATCTAGTTCCCTGAACAGGAATCGAACCCGGACCCCCTGCATTGGGAGCGCAGAGTCTTTTACACTGAGCCACCAGGGAAGTCCCTTTTTTTCTCTTTTTAAAAATGAACTCCAGACATCTAAAATTCAAGAACGAATTATACAGCTTTCCACCTCTCCTTGGCAACATCACAATAGATGACCAAAAGCAGGTGTTAAACGTCCTCTTCCAGGGATTTCCATTTTCCCAGGAAGCTTTAATGAGGCAGGTCACAGAATCTATGGCCCTGAAAAAGAGCCCTGTCTGGCAAAGGCTAAGCTTCTAAAAGCGCCCGCGGCCAGCCTTACGGCAGTACCCCTGGCGCATTATGCAGCCAATCGGCCAGCAGAGGGCACTCCTGCATCAGGACAGGCCAACTCCAGGCAGCCCTGTCTCAGCCCCCAGGTTCCAGGGCCTGGTGCAGGACTGTTACCTGAACAGAACAGGTAAGCGAGCTGGCTGGAGTTAAAGATTAAATAAAGATGACAGGAGAACGACCTGCAGAGAATGCAGCAAGGGAAAACTGAAGTCTTCAGAGCCCAAGGTCAAAGCAGGTACTCAGGTACAGGTACAAAGCAAGTCACCAGGCACTGCCCACCCCCCCCAGGATCTGAGGGAAGATGCAAATTAAATGTCAGTGCTGAGCCGCTACAGAACAGAGAGGAGATGAGGCTCAGCAGACTGGGTGATGCAGGCAATCCCCAGTGGAGCTGAAGCAGCGCTTGCCCAGCACAGCGGTGGGGGTGTGGGCAAGGCGGGACAGCTCATGCATGGCCCCAGATCCCTTTAGAGCCGGCTACAAAGGCAGAGTGCATTTTGCAAAATAAACAAGAGCTATGGAAACTGGTAAATAGTTTGCCCTTCCAAAATTACCACAAGAGATTTCTACCTTGGATTATTTCCCCGAAGAAAAGTTTTCTGGGCTTTATTTTTCAGTTTCAAGAAAATACACTTAATGAAAATGTTCTTCATATTAGATTTTTATTTCCTCTCTACTTTGAAAGTCAAAGCTGGACTGGCTGGATATTTGTCTTCATCCGTTTAAACTATATTTTCTGAAATAACTAAAAACGGCTGTGTTCCCTTCCTAGTTTTTTATTAACTAACTTTATGTCGCTTGATTTTAGAATGTATTTATCAGACTGTATCTATGTCAAAATACTGCACTATTTGGATGCCCTCTTCATACAACTCTGATGCATATTCCCATGTGTGGGACTGAATGGGGCAGGGAGCAGGGAAAAGGGTCAGAGAGGAGGAGGGGGGAAGGGGGCAGAGACCCTAGGATAAAATTCACAAGCCTCCCGCCCTCGGGTCCCTGCAGACACCTGACTCACAGAGAGCCAGAAATGCAAACCTGAGCTTCCTTCTGATCTCGAGGATGCCAAGGAAGGGGGCAGAGACCATTTCTGACTGCCTCTGAGAGCACCTTGCCACCAACGGCAAAACCAGCCTGAAAAGACCACTGGGTGTCAGCACCCCAGGGCAATGGTACATGTCATCTGCGCCCAGCGGGAGCCCAGGAGCTGTGCACGTCAGGGAGAGCCGTGTAAGGTTTTGTCAACTCTTTGGGGAACATTATGGTACCGCCAGTTACTTAACTTGGCCAGCTGAAATATGGCAGTAGAGCGCGACTGGGCTTCTTTCCTGGTTTGTTACACTGTGAGAACAAACGGGATCCACTGGGCTAAAGCCCAGCAACAGAACAGAGCCAGTGGGACCATCCAGGTAATCGCCTTATTGGTGCCATGCTCACACGGACACCCAGTCAGCTCAGAGTTTAGCTCACAGTTCCCGTGAGACCAGTGGCAGGGCTTGGACACTATAGGGTGACCTGGTGTAGTGCATAGGGTCTTTTTAAATCACCTCTTGTCATCTGAGCCTCAGTTTCCCATTCAGAGGGACATGTAATAATTACCCTATGGAGCTTTGGGGAGAATCAAATGAAATGGTCCATTTCCTAGCTTCTGATGGCAGGGACAGAATAGTGTAATCCTGGAATGACTGTTTTCGTCATTCTCCAGTTGGTTAGCTAGCTTCACCATGTGTTCTCCCAGTTCTGATTAAATACAGTGTTAAGTCACCTGACCTGGTCCACTTAGTGATGAAGGTCTTCCTTGGCGATGATGGAGATGTTAGGTCTTGAGTGCAGCCCATGGTCATAGAACACATCCTCCTTTGCTAGAAGCCAAATGTGCTCCCCCTCTACCAGGCTCTGTGGTATCACTTCCAGTTTGAAAGGCAGGACCACTGCCCACACTCACAGGTCCACAGACACACACCGCCCCAGGTGCTACAATACACACATGGGCAACTTTGAAGAGATACGACTGCCATCTGAGTCCAAGATGAGGGAGTTTGGTAAATAAACAGCCTTTCAAAATAATGATTCCTAAAAGGCTAAGAGAACTGATGACTTGATGACTCAATGACTTCCAAGAAAATCAGCCCAAAGGGGACCTAGCAAAAGGGAAATTTCATGTATCGAAAAGAGCAGGCTCTTTGGAATCAGACAGAGCTTCAAAGAATAACTCCAACTCCCAACCCCATCGCCTACGAGCTGCATCCATGGGCAAGGTACCAAGCTCTCTAAGCCTTCGTTTTCTCATAGGTGTTTTGTGAGCATTTATGAGCGGGGATGCTACACACACACACACACACACACACACACACACAATTCTATAGTCTGATAAGTCTGAGAAGCAAAAACTTGCAAGGTACATTAGCATATCAAAAGCTCTAAAGAATCCTGCAATAAAGAAACCTGTCTAACCTGCTTAGCCGGTGTTCTTTAAAACCTCTTGACCACAGGTAACTGTCAATACCTTGCCTGCTACACACACCTTTGAAAGACGTTGAAATAATGAATATATATGCTTAGTACAATGTTAGGTACCTAATATATCTTAATAATGGTAGACATCACCATATAAAATACTCTTTTCCCATCCCCTCCTGGGTTCCCAGCATTCTATTAAAATGGATATAATGATAAATATAGTAATGGTAGTAATGTGTTGTTACACTCTGGTGTTTGTTCACACAGCTAACCCATGACAGATCCGGGTTTTGAACCAAGATGTGTCTGACTCCAAAGCCGTTATGCCGTACCGTCTTCCCATCCCTCGGGGACCCCTCCCGGAGAGCAGAGCCCTGCAGCCAAGGTTAGAAGGGGCCAATCACGGGTGAACACTTCCCCCTACTGGTCCCACGGGGGGGGCGAGAGGCCAGGGTTCCTACCTGGTGCCGGATCCCATCGTCACCGACGCACTGGGTGCAGGCCTCCTCGGGGACACAGCTGCCTTCCAGCAGCACTTGGTGCAGGGGGCAGAAGCAGCCTTCTGAGGGATGGTCCCCACAGAAGCTCGAGTTGCCCTCACATTGGCGGGGGCAGCCGCGCTCACAGTGGTTGTAGACCAGGGATGGCGGGCACAGCACAGCTGCAGACAGAGAAGGGGGTCACCCTCAAGGGTCTGCACCAACCAGAGGAAAGTGGTTCAGCTTCAAGGCCGTTGATCATCTAACAAACTTGCTGGGGCAGAAACCGCTAGTTTCCACCAATTTTCATTCTCTCCATCTTTCATAGAAATAGACCTTCAAGCCGGGCACGTGACCACTCAGAATAAAGACTACATTTCCCAACCTCCCTTGCAACTAAGTGCAGTCATGTGATTACATTCTGACCAATGACCTGTAAAAGCAAGTGTAGACTCTTAACAGCAGTTTCTAAGAATCATTTTTTGAAAGACAGCTGCCTCTCTGGCCCTTTTCCTTCCTTCCCCTCATCCCGCCACTTGGAATCTGGATGTGATGGCCAGAGCTCCATCTTAAACCATGAGGAAAAAGCACACCCAACTGAGGACGGAGCAAAGAACTAGAATCCACTTCGAGACCCAGAAAGAGCTGGGACTGCCTCCCTCTGATCAGCTGTGTGACACAGAATTTTACTTCTCTCTTACTTGTAGCCAAATTTAATCCCAAATGACGATGTGAACCTTGTATCCTTAGGAAGTTCTATGGTTCTTTTCTTCGAATACACATATATTTAATGCTTTGAAAATTCTCTTAAACTTAAATAAGGAATCCACAGCTATGGAAGGCTGCCCTGGGAGAAAAGCTACAAAGTGATCCACTTCTCCCACTCTGGTCCTGCCCAACCCCTTCCTCACATTTTCACGGTGCCAAGGCAGGTGGTAGGGAAGGTTTCCAAGGATTTAGAGCACCAAAGACTTTCCTATAAATGCACGACAAATTGCCTGGAAGTAGACAAATTAATAAGCAGAGAAGGTGTGATCGGTAACTCAGAAACTAACATTTTCCCCTTAATCTGCAGGTAGGTAGAAAGGAGACTGTGTCATCCACGGGGACTCGGAAAACCAGAGCCCCAAAGACACCTGGGGGTTATCTAGTCCAACTATCTCATTCCAAGATGCTGAAACTGAGGTCCAGAAAGACTAAGGAAATAGCTGATGACCCGCTGAGCTGGGGCTACGATGCCCAAGTCCTCCAGCCCCAGTTAAAGCTGTGACAGCATTATAATAATAAACTCGGAGACTCTGAGATGCCTGTACACATTGATTTCCCTCAAAAAAAGGTCAGGGACTACATTAGAAACTGAGGATGCTGAAGTTCAGCGTTCTTATCACTCCGACACCCCCTGAGAGCAGGAGCCATGTCTGATTCATTCTGGTGTCCCTGACATGTTAAATATTAAATACATGCCAAGTCCAAGTAAGGAAGCTGACCTTGGGAGGCGTCAACACGAGCAATCCTGTGGCGTTTGTAATGAAGAAGCTTCTCGGTATTCAAATGGCAAAATTCCACTCACACTTCAAAATCCTGCTCAGGCATGGGCTGCTCTGTGAGCCTTTGCTAAAGCCTGGTGCAATTCCAAATTCGAGGTGACTGACTGCTCAGTCTGTACTTTGCTGTTGCCGGGATGTGTCTAATACATTAAAATCACGTTTGTATGACCTGCAGAACTACCGCTAGAAAGGACCATGCTCTCATTTACATAGAAATTCTATGTTCAAATTACTTATACGTCTACCATCTTATTTGATCCTGAATGGAATCCTAGGAAACAGGAAATGCAGAGGTTTTGATCTTCGTTGCCCGGATAAAGAACGTGAGGCCCAGAGAGGCTGAGCAGGTCCCCCATTCGTTGGTCTTCACAGCGTTTGGGGGTGCCTAAGGAGACTCACCGCAGAAATCAGGGGTCCTCCAGTCGACACACACCCCCTTGGTCCGACAGAGGTGGGCATAAGAGGCAATGGCCTCACACACTTGCTCCTGGTGGCAACTGTCCTGCTGGCAGATGGCGTGAAATGTGGCCGGGGCAAGGACCGCGTGGCACTCGGCAAACAGCGCCGAGAGGAGGACCTGGCAGTGGGAGCCCCTGGAGACAGGACATGGCTCCTCGGGACCCAGCAGGCATGTCTGCCCCGGCTTCTGCACCGTCCACTCCTGGACCAGCGTCTTCCAGTCTGAGGTGACTGTGCCATCCCTCAGCATGAAGTCATTGGCCCCATTCTCATCACAGATGCCTAGAGAAGCAAGGAAAAACATGGTTAGGAGCCCAGGGTGCCAACCCCTTGATGCCGGAGACCTGGCCATTCTCCATCACCGCCAGCGTCTGAACCTTACTACTGGACCCAGAAATAGCAGTGGCCAAGGGCCCTGAGGAGAGAGCAAGGAGGGTGTATGTCAGGGAGGAGAGTTAGAAGATATTCTTACCACAGAGACCGTACATCTTTGAGGCAAAGGTCTTGGGGCTCAGCTGCAGCTGGAACTCGTTGTTTTGTGGGGTGAAGGTGAGGATGTGGCCCAGATGGTTGAGTCTGACCTCATACATAATGGCACCGTAGACACTGACCTCCATGTCCCCACCCACGTAAGGGGCAGAGACCAGCCTCCCATTCACCACCACCTGCCCAAAGAAGAAAACCACCCATCAGTAGCCAGGGCAACAAGGAATCCTAGGGTTTCACTCTTAGCCACTTTCCAAAGCTCCTGACGGTTCCTACACATTCACCCCACTCAAGTCCACTGTTATCCACAAACCCAGACATTTGGCAGCAGCTCTTCGAAGACAAAGGAGCTTTGCAGAGCTTGGCAAAAGAGTGGACTCTTATAACACTGAACAGACAGCCATGCGTCTGGAACTCGAAAGCCCAGGGATTAAGAGGAACCTTGAGTCACTCTACAGGGAAGATGACTCCTCAAGAAAAGCTGGGGAAGTTGCTTACTTGCCAACTGGTCAGTGCCCTATCTCCAGGAGCATCTAATAGGACTACTTTAAGCATTTGATTTGATTTGATTGACTAGCTCTTTGGAGGCCCCACAATATATCTTATCAAACCTATTAAAATATACTCACATCCCACAATGAATATAATTTTTGCTGTAAAAATTTTAGAAGGCTTTTTATCCTTTTTTTTTTTTTTTTTTTTTGCGGTACACGGGCCTCTCACTGTTGTGGCCTCTCCTCACTGGTGTGGCCTCTTGCGGAGCACAGGCTCCGGACGCACAGGCTCAGCGGCCATGGCTCACGGGCCCAGCCGCTCTGCGGCATGTGGGATCTTCCCGGACCGGGGCACGAACCCGTGTCCCCTGCATCGGCAGGCGGACTCTCAACCACTGCGCCACCAGGGAAGCCCGCTTTTTATCTTTTTGATTTTTATATTTTTGTCTATGAGCTACTCATTTAACATATGACGAGCTGTGATTTTTCAGCAATCACTGTGCACGTTCAAGAATTCTTGCAAGAGGAGAACATCTAACCCATAAGCTGCTTTCACGAAATGAAATATTTACGATTTCTAAATGAACGTGTAAAGAAGTTGGCATAAAGCAACCTCTTGTAAACATTTAATCAAACATTTATTTTTTATCAGTTTTGCAGTTTTCTTTTTGAATCTTGGGTCCACACATTTTGTTTGGGCCCAGAATATTTTCATAGGCCCTAAATATTTTCCTTTGGAAGCTTCGCAGGCCCTGGGTACAGGGCACGTAATGCCTGCTGGGCAAACAGCCTGGTGTCACCCCCATTCTTCTACCAGTGCCAGAAACTGGCACGACATTCATCACAATGTAATGCTATCGAAAATGGACCCTTTCTTCCAAATCTGGACCCAAAACAACATGAAATTACACCACGAGGGAGATAGCAATGAGCCCCTCCTACAAAGGTGGCGCTCTGCTCATGGGGCAGGAGGCCGAGTCCACAACAGGGGCACCAGCTAAAACCGGCTGCCACCGGGTCCATGTGGCTTCCCCGAGGGTCTGCCGCTGCCACGCTACAGGACTCACAGAAAGCACCTCCTACCTCCATGTTGCTGCGGAGCTCAACCGAGACACCGTTATGTTTCACCTCGATGGACTTCATGCAGGCCTGCCTTGCCCTGGCGCTGCAGGCGTCATTATGGAGCAGTACCTCCAGGTCTTGCTCCTTGTTGTGAAATAAGACATACGAGCAGTTGCCAGTCAGCTTGAAATTCTGCCCATCAAAGGTCACGATGTGCCGAGTAGAGCTGCCAGTGCAGACACCTGGACGGAGAGAGCAAAGGATGGATATGACCTGCCCAGACTTCCTCTCCTATCTCCTCTGCTCTCTTTGGACTGACAGGGAGACTTGCGAGTACATCTTTCCATAGACTGCTGACATTGAAAACCATGTTAATGCTTCACATACGGAAAACAAAGAGAATCAGCTAGGATGGCAGTAAGGAAAATTCAAAATGGAATACAAACAGATACGATTAAAAGAATAATGTAGGTAATGAATAACGGAAGCACACAGAAGGGAGCGGGGAAACCAGCCTAAATAACTTTGGGGAAAAACTTACTATATACCCAGAGGCTAAAGACAAAAAGAATTGTGCACAAATGTGTACTCTAGTTAGTAGATCTGTTTTTCATAAAGGTATTTGTTAGCAGTTCTGAAACTACTTTACGTGTATTCTGTGTAGGGTCTACAGAGGAATGATGGCCTAGGGTTGTTCTAAAAGTGATCCTGGGCTTCCCTGGTGGCGCGGTGGTTGAGAGTCCGCCGCCGATGCAGGGGACACGGGTTCGTGCCCCGGTCCGGGAAGATCCCACATGCCACGGAGCGGCTGGGCCCGTGAGCCATGGCCGCTGAGCCTGCACGTCCGGAGCCTGTGCTCCGCAACGGGAGAGGCCACAGCAGTGAGAGGCCCGCGTACAAAAAAAAAAAAAAAAAAGTGATCCTAAGAGAATTTCTGCTACACAGTAAGGAGGACGTCAAAAGAGAGAGAGAAAGAGAGCCTATGAGGGGTTGGATGCAAAAACAAACAAATAAATAAACAAAAAAAATAACAAAACAAAACAAAAAACCCAGAAGGATGGCAGGGTGAAGCAGCAGACGGCGAAGGAATATAGAATATGCAACTGATATCAAAGGACCGCTCCTGAGAGCTGGTAAGAAAAAGCAGCTCCCTTAAACACCTGCCAGGCCATTGAGTGCAGGGCCTCTCACAGAAGCACCAGTCATATAAGAACTTGGAGAAGCCACTTCCAGCTCCTCCCTCTCTGGGCTCCAAGCTGGAGGGAGGCTGACTACACCCCTTTCCCAGGCCAGGAGCCCACACAGGGATTAGGGAGGCGCTTCAACGCTAACTCAAGTTCAAAGTCTTGATTATTACCTGAGAGTGGGCATCTAATTACCACATTGAGACCGCGTTTTACGACCTAAAGCAACCATAGAACTCTTTACAAATAAACAGAAATAATATGGGGTCTGGTAGAGTTCTCATGCAGGCAAAAAGGAAATTTATCCCACTCAATAACCTCTGAAGGGAGAGATACAAGACACAGCTTTGATTTCAGCCCACAGGTTGTGTCTGTCCATCATAAGCAACCCGATGCATCCACTGCCGAGCAGGGATTTGCCACAAGCAGACATTTCTCCCAACCGTGAGACAGAGGCAGCCCACCCCACAGATGAGTGCTCCCCACAGGTCTGCATGGGATGGAGTTGACTAGGTCCTCCTATTAAACCAGGCCACCGTGATGGTACACCCTGCATCCAACGCTCAAACACCTACAGGTATGATGGGGGAGCTTCCTGCGGGCTTCTCTCTCACTGCTGTACCTGCACTGCCTAGACCCCCTAAGGGTGACTCGTCGACAGCCAAGCTGAGCACTGACCTCAGAAAATCAATTCTTCCTTCTGGTTATGCATTATCTGGGGAAGTGCCCTCCAAAAGGCACAGGAAGGGAACAGGGAGCCCTGGGACTGAATGGAAACACGTCCCGAGGTCACAAGAGGGAGGGAACATGGGTGGAGGGGGAAACGGGCTTCTGGTCTACCTCTCTGCACAGCCAAGCGAAAAGCACTGCCCCTCGAACACCGTCCAAGCTGGAGAAGCAGAGGACTCACAGGGGCAGGTCCAGCGGCAGCCACAGGCCTCTTCCACCCTGATCGGGGACTGGCTGTTGGGGCAGGAAGGCCGCAGCTGCTGGTCACAGTTGACCCGGTGACTATTCAGCAAGGTCTGGCCATCTGGCAGGCAGGTCACCGTGTGGCACCGATCCGGCAAGGTCCAGATGTCCCCGGGCTGCAGAGAAAGAACCAGGTTCAGGCAGGGAATGGAATGAGGCACTTCAACATCCACCAGGCAACTGACCCCCTTGGAAAACATAGAGACTAGGCCTTGGGCCTAAATGGCAAGGAGACAGGATACAGAAGATAGGATTTACAGGTGGATCCACCCCAACCACGACCAAAATTTAAAAAAAAAAAAAAAAAGAGGCTATAATGGTAAGAGGGAGAATTGGACCCAGACCAAAGGAGGAAAAGTTTACCAGGGGAACGAGGGCCCCAAATATACATTCCTGATCTTTCCTTCAAAGTCAACGGAAATGAACGTACCCTCCTCTCATTCCCGTCCTCATCCACGCAAACACTGATGAACCCTGAAACAGACACAAGCAAGATCTCTGTTCCCACCCACCATCCAGAAATTCTGAGCCATTCACTCGGCTACCTGGCTGGTCCTCGAAGCTGGATTAACTCTGAAAAGAACGTGAGTGGGTTTAGCAGTGAGGATGCAGGTACAGGAGATTAGGAGGACGTCATCCCGTGGTTCTTTGTGGTTAGTAGTCATTACAGTGACACAACAGTGATAATATGGCAACAACCACAATCAATATCTCCTTGTCCTCTTTTGTATATAGATCAGTGCCTAGTGAGGGGAGGAAAATGCAGCAAGAGGCTGAAAACTTAAAAGAGATCAACATTCCTACCTGGAGAGCTATCACCTATCAAGAAAGGGCAATACCTCTGTAGCAGGTTTAGACTCACAGCTAATTACATTAGGAAAATATAGAAAACCAGGTTTTAAAAAAAGCATGTATCGTAAAAATAAAAAGTTTCTAACCTGAAATCAACTTAAACTATAGTTTGATGTTATAGTCTATGTTATCGTATTTCTTTTTTTTTTTAATCTTTTCAGTTTCGTATTTTATGGAAGTATAGTTGATTTACAATATTGTGTTAGTTTCAGGTGCACAGCAAAGGGACTGTTATTTTTTTCAGATTATCTTCCATTATAGATTACAAGATGTTGGATGTAATTCCTCGTGCTATACGGTAAATCCCTGTCGCTTTTCTAAAGCCCTTTATACCCATCCTGATAGTGACTGCAGGGCGTGGGGAAGAGGTCCATGATCTAAGGATGTTGGAGTTCCCTGCCTCTGTCTTCCACTTCTTCGACCAAGAGCCCTGTGCTCAAGTTAGCATGGACAGTAAGGATGGAAGGAGGTCTATACACAGAGAACTTTCTGGTAACCCCTTGGAGGTTTGCCTTACAACCTTCCACGAGTAGACACTTACAGGTCCCGGCCTATAAAACAAACTTACTTCAAGGCCAAATCTTGTATATGAGAACCTTTGAGTCTCTAGATGGGTTTGGTTGCTTTTGTTTCTGTTTTGAGGGGGATAAGAAAAACATGCCAAGACTCACCAGAGCACAGCTTGTGGAAGAAGGAATTGCCCAGGGCGACCATGGTGGGGAGGTCTTCGATCCGCTGGAGCTGCACCACGTTGGAGCTGGCCCCTGGGCCCGCCAAGATCCCCAGCTGGGCCAAGTCATACCCGTCTCCAATCCCAATGGGGAACACCGCCACTCCTAGGGTTACAGAGGAGCAAGAAAGGGTCTGTGTCAGCCTTTGGCCAGGTGGGCTCAAAATGCGCTGGCCTGAAGCTACACCCAGCGTGTGCACAGAGCCTCATGTTTTCCAAACTGGCCACTCACACCGACCCTGTGAGGAGGGCATTCAGTCAATCAACAAACGTTAGTGAGGTCCTGCTCTGTGTCAGGTACTATTCTAAGCAGTGAGGATACTGTAAACCAAGCAGATCAAGTCCTGACCTCATGGAGCTTACACTGGGGAGAGACAGACAACACACACAGAAGTAAGTAAATATCTAGTATTTCAGACCTGGATAAGTGCTTAGGAAAAAACAAGGTGGGGTGAGGAGGATAAGAGTTACTAGGGTAGGGGTGAGGGTTATTGTTTCATACAGGATGGTTGGAGATGTGTGCGGTGAAAAGATGAAGGGCAGAAGGGGCCAAGAGGACATCCTGAGCACAGAGACAGTGCGTGCAAAGGCCCTGGGGCAGAAAATTGGCTGCATAGTCCAGGGAGGCCAGAGCAGAGAAAGCAGGAGAGGGACACAGATCATGCAGAGCTTCAGAGGCCACGGGAAGGACTAAACATGTTCTCTGAATGAAATGGGAGCCGGCCGAGACTTGAGAGCAGAGGAGTGACATGGGTAAGCTGACTTCAATGTTTAAAGGGTCACTGCAGCTGCTCTGCTGATTATGAACTTCGGGGGCAAGGATAGAAGCTCGTAGAAAGCTGTTCCAGGTAGAAAGCTATTACAGTAATCCAGGTGAGAGATGATGGGGGCTTGAACTAGGAGACAGTGGTGGAGGTGGTATGCAGGTGACATGGCGTGGTGGCGTTCCCAGCGTATTCTGAAGACGGAACTATAGTTTGTTGATGGACTGGATGGACGTATGAGAGAAACAGAGGAATTAAGGACACTGAGGCTTTTGACCTGAGCAACTGGAAGGATGGAACTGCCATTTTTCTAAGATGGGAAAGACTGTAAGAAGAGGAGATTTGGATGTGAGGGTCAGTAATTCAGTTTATGCTGAGTTGCCTGTTAGAACATCTAGGCGGAGATGTTCTAATTCCTAATCCAGACTGGAGACAGGAATTCTTAAGTCGATCGTGCATAAATGTATCTAGACGAATGACACAGACCACCCAGGAGGTGAGTGTAAGAAGAGAAGAGAAAATGTCAGTCACAGGGCTTAGCCCGGGGTACGTGCGTCTACAGGTGAGAAACAGGCTTTGAATGGTTCAGTGATGTGCCCTGGATCATGTCTGTTTCCTCCAGACCACGGCTGCTTCCTTTCTCGATGAAAGTGTTTCTTTGGATTCTTGATACTAAAGGAGAAAAGTCTCCATCATAAAATTACCCCAATTAGTTCTCCAGAAAGTTCTAGGTATTTGCAGTTTGCTTAAGATTAGAGCTGATTTTCTGCTAGCAGCTTTTCACCTTTTCTAAGCTGGTTGTATCACCCCAACGTACATCCTTTCAGGGTCCTTTCCCCTAAAATAATAGGTTTCATCAATAGGTCACATTCATTCATTTAACAAACGTTAAATGGCCACCTATTTTGTGCATCATGCACAGACGATACAAAAATAAGCAAGATTTTGCCCATGCCTTCAAAGAATCCCTAGTTTGTGCAAGAAACAGATATATAACATAAAAACGATGTGGTTTGCGCATTTTGAGTAGTTCCAATGGTACAGAAAAGGGAGTGAATAACTCTCGGGAAGACATCAGAGGAAAGACAGAGCGGGGTTTTGAAAGATGAGCCATGCTCCAGGGGGCACGGGAAGGTGTCACGTCATGTCATCCCACTCACCCAGCCCCCCGCCAGCGCGACACTGCCTGCCCCGGCTCACGTGCTGTTGCTGTACACAGCACAAGCTCTCAGAAGGCACCGAGGCTCGGGCACACCTGCATCCGTCCCCTTCCTAAAGCAGCAGCCTTGGTCTCTTGTCCAGCCTGCACCCCCAAGCCCCTTAGGCTGGTACTGGACAGGGGCTCAGAATACAGGAAGGTCTCCGATGGCTCTCAAAGCCCCAAAATGTATCACTCTAGCCTCAGAGTGGAGAGAGGCTAGGGACACCACAGGCGCGGGGGCATGACCCAGCCCTGAACGCAGAGGGAATATTTGGAGAAGTTAGAAGTTACAGCCAAGGTCTTCCCTGGTGGTGCAGTGGTTAAGAATCCGCCAGCCAATGCAGGGGACACGGGTTCGATCCCTGGTCCGGGAAGATCCCACATGCCGCAGAGCAACTAAGCCCGTGCGCCACAACTACTTAGCCTGCACTCTAGAGCCCTCGAGCCACAACTACTGAGCCCGTGTGTCACAACTACTGAAGCCCATGCGCCTAGAGCCCGTGCTCTGCAACAAGAAAAGCCACCACAGTGAGAAGCCCGAGCACTGCAACGAAGAGTAGCCCCTGCTCGCCGCAACTAGAGAAAGCCTGTGCGCAGCAACGAAGACCCAACGCGGCCATAAACAAATAAATAAATAAATAAAATACATTTATAAAAATAAAGTTACAGTTGAAAGCATGCAGACACATGAAGGATAAACACACATTTATTACTGCTTGGTTTCCAAATAACACAGGGATTGGGCAATTTCCTGTTGCTTGAAACCAGGCCCCATGTGGGTATTAAGTATTCAAAATCAGCCAGGACGTCGCAAAGTAACCACCGCCCACTCTAACAGTTTGCGGGTAGCAGTTTGCGGGCGTAGGACTGCACCCCCGACACTTACGGTTGGCTCTGGCGGCGGCGGCAGCGGCAGCCGCATCCAGTGAGTCCGTGGAAGTGCCCATGACCAGGATGACCACCACCTTCGAGGCTTCAGGCCTGGCACCGTGGACTTGGGATGTGACATAGCGCACCGCAAAGCCCAACGCGTTCCCTGGAAGAGAGAACGGGCCACACAGTCAGTCCTGATGCGGGGAAGGTGGGTGTGAGGCCGGCTGAGCATCCTGCCTCCAGGGGGAGCCTTAGGTCATCGAAACGAGTAACTCAGAGACTCAGAGAGTCTCACACACAAGTGAGATCGATCGGGAAGAGCACCTTGGCCCTTGGTTTACAGGGAAGAAAACTAAGGCCAAGGAGCCAAGGGGCCGGCCGGGGTTAACCGGTCACTTATGCCAAGAACTGGGGCCAGACGCGGCCCCTGCACCCCAGCCCGCCAGCGCGTTACCGATTTGGCTGGGGCTTCCCTCCTGCTGCATGTGGTCCACGAGGCTCAGTACGTGGGTTTTCTCCAGGGGCATGGTCCACGGCACGTCGATGGTGGTGATATTTCCGTACTGGAGCACCGACACCTGGGTGAGCTGAGGGCCTGACAGGAGAGGAAGCACAGAAGTCACACTTTGAATCAGGAAGAGCCCCTGAAAGCGCCCCTTCGGGCGCCTCACTCACCTATATTGGCTCTTGAGATGAAAGCCTTGGCAAAACTCTTCATTTCGTCAAAGTAAGAAGCTGGAAAGCTGGAGGAGCCGTCCAGGAGGAGGACCACATCCAGGGGCTGGCTGCAGTCTGCAAGGAGAGCAGAGGGGAGCAACCAGGGCTGTGGGGGACTGGCACCAGGCCCCTGCAGCAGACACACACTCAGTGGGTGTGCAGGGCGCTGCCGACCACGTGGCGCCACAAAGGGGAGGCGTGTCCTCCAGTTCTGCACCTCGGCAGCTGGCGCCAGGCAGCAGGGAAGGGGGCCGTGAGTCCCCGGGTTTGGAGGCACTGGGGAGACTCCAACTCTACCCAAAGGCAGTTTAAATGCTACAGATGGAAGCAAGAGGCATCCTCCCCTCCATTTCGGGGGCTGCAACTCTTCTAGAACTGAGTGAAATACTGGAGCAGAAAACAGGCAGATGACAAGAGGAAACAGAGCAGCACATCCCTGGAAGGTGGGCTTGTGTGTCCTCAGGTCTCACGGGGCACGCAAGGATCTAGAAGGGGAACCGATTAAAAATGCCTAAAGCTCATGTTAATGTTTGGGAACAGGGTCACGATCGCAGTGAGGAAACAAACTCTGGCCCAAACACTGTTCTGAGATTTGATGATGCTATTGCTGAACTAGCACGAGAATTTAGATAAATCTGTGGCTCTGATGAAAACAAAAACAAAGAAACAAAGGCACGGATAACGAGTATGGGGATCAAGAGGCCGTAAAAGAAGGCTAGTGATTCTGGGGCGTCCCAACCACACCAAGTCAAGATGTTAAAGAGCTAGGCAGTGATGCGTCGTTAGTATCAGTTAAGAGGTAATAATCACAGCAGCGGAGCCAAGTCATTTTTGAGCACTTGCCCAGTACTGGGTACTTAAGCATTTTTCAAGTGCTAGTGTTACCAGCATTTCACAGGTGAGGAGGCTGACGGACACAGAGGCACCTGCCCAAAATTACCCCAAAACTATTATTGCAAAAATTACCCAGCTCATAGGTGCCAGAGGTGAGATTCAAACTAAGGCAGCCCAGCTCCAGAATCTACTGGACTTCCTGGCCTTGCCCCGAAGAATGTCAGGTGCTGAGAAGAATTTTATCCACCCAGCGTGGTAAAAAAAGCTGATAGTCACCATATTTAACAGGTTACCGCCAAGGCAGGGAGTGGAATTGGGTGGGGATGAGGCTATATGGTAAAGCAGGACTTGTGTTTTTTTTACTTCATATCCTGGTTTTGCTTACATCTTAATAAGCTTGCATTACCTTTGCATTTTCAAACTCAGACAATAAGAAAAGGTCCTTCCCCCCAAACAAAGATCACAGGTGCGGCTCCCTGAACGGGAGGTGAGGAAACGCAGACACTCTGAAGGCAGGGGTCTGGCCGAAGGCACAGAGCAGGGAAGCCAGACCTGAACCTGAGAATCGCGTCTCCACCAAGGCCGCCCCCAGTGCCCCCAAGTCCTCGCCCCCATGCAAGGCGCCCACATACCTGAGACGGGGGCGGGGGTGGGGAGATGCGGCCCCTCTCTGGAGCAGCACCTCTGCAGCACCAGGTCAGGAGCCTCTCGGGGGAGCGTCTCGAAGTCCTTGATGAAGATGGGGGCCTGGGGCCAGCTGATCTTCTCCAGCTCCGGCACGTCCACGCGAGGCCCCACTCCGATGGGCACCACCTGGATGTCTCCGGGCATCCGCCTGATCTCATCTGAGGCCGGGCTTCCCGTGACCATGTAGACCAGGTTGGGTGCCTGCCCCCGGTCCCCCTGGCTGGCCGAGAAGCTGTGCTCCGACAGGTACTGCAGGGCCAGCCCGGTGTTGGTCCGGTTGCCACCCCGGTAGCGGATCTCCCGCAGCCGCCGCATGACGTCCTCCTTGGACTGCGCCTCTCTGAAGGAGTGTTCCACGGTCACCACGTACGAGTACTGCAGCACCGTGACGTGGACACCGTCCCGGCCCACGTCCATCTGCCGGATCACCTCCTCCAAGAACTCTGTGCTCCTGTTGAAGCTGGCCTCGCCCACGCTGTCCGACCCTTCCAGGAGGAACGCCACATCCAGGACCACGGAGCTCCTCCTGGGTGCCAGCGTCACGGGGACCTGGGCCGTGAGCGGCCGCTGCGTGGGGGCAGGCGCTTCAGGGGCGAGGTCACAGAGGTAGTTGATGATCTCATCCCTCCGCTGTTCCAGCTCGTCCACGCCGCTGAGCACAAAGGCCTTGTTCTCGGGGGCCTGCTTCTCGATGAGGCGGATCTGCCTCAGGCTGGCGTGGGGCCCGATGCCCACGGGGACCATGACGACCTTCTTCTTCTTCAGGCCCTGGACGTAGCGGACCAAGTTCCGGGCCAGCCTGGGGGGCTCCTGGCTGGCCGTGAGCAGCAGGGCCACGCGGGAGGCCTCAGGCCGGTCCACCTTGCTGAAAATCTGGAAGAGCGTGTACTTCAAGACCTCGCTGGTGGAGGCCACCTCGCTGCCCGCGTACTTCACCTGCCCGGCGATGCGCCGCAGCTCCGACGGCCGCTTCCGGTCCTGCAGTGCGATGTAGGCGTGGGAGCCATCATGGTACTCCACCACGGCCACGCGGATGCGCTTCTGGGAGATGTGCAGACGCTCCATCACGCCCACCACGAATGCCTTCAGCATCTCGAAGTCGGCCTCAGACAGCTTGGAGGAGCCGTCCAGCAGGAAGACCAGGTCCAGGAGTTTGCTGCAGAAGAAGTCGTGCAGGGGCGGCTCCGGCGTGTCGTCCACGTACGGGGTGGTGAGGTCAACCGGGCCTTCTGTGGGGGGCACCACCAGGCCTCCCGGTTCCCTGCAGGCTTCACAGGTGAGGCTGACACCATCACAGTGACTGCAAGAGGGGAGAGACCGAAATGGTTCAGGAAGAACCTCTGGGCACTTCCCAGCCCACTGAACCCGAGCCCCCAAGGAACACTCCCCACTCGAGAGAGACACCACGTTTAACATAGTCCCCAAGCAGCCCCCCTACACACACACACACACACACACACACACACACACACACACACACTTCCCTTGAGTTTTGATCCCCTTGAAAGCCAACGATTTCACCCACCCTAGGACCTGAAAAAGAATCTTTCTTCTTTCTTAGCAATCCACACAGCCATTCAAAGTTGGTTTATTTTCAACCTATGTCTCTAGCAACATAAATATTTAATTATAATCCAAGCCTTCTCCCAAATATCTCCAAAGACAAACACTGCTTTAAAATGTTTAGGCTGACCAGGCCTTATAAATGTTCTATCAAAGATAAATGTTTTTCAGTATTTATTACAACAGAATTTAAGCTGCATGAGTTCTGTACTATGTTAACATGTTGGGCCCTAAGGAAGAGAGGAAAACAGGAGTAAAATCACTTCAGAGAGATGAATAAAGATTCAAAATACCAGCTTGATCCGGCAGAATAAAGTATTGGGAGTGGTATACGGGGGTCTCCAAGATGTTAGACAGAGAGCGACAGTGACTCACTCATTCTTTCTTGCAATGGACCCACCGTTTACCCCCATCATGTGCCAGGGTCTAGCTATGCTCCACACCCAGCCCCAAGCCCCACACACAAATTCTCACCCCGCCAGGCCAAATTTCCAATCCCCTGGGCACTTCTCTCTTTCACCAGTGTCCTGGAAAGTGGCAGGCTCTGCCAGACCACAGGAGAAATCAAGCTGCCTGTGACGGAGACCCACACAGGCTAGAACCTTCTCCTTCAACCCCGGTGGGAGCCCGGGGGCAGTGACCCATGACTCCCAGTTACAAGAGCCGCATCCTGGGACCTTGGCCATGGCCTGAGGTGTCTGTGCCCCACTGCAGAGTCAGGGGCTCCACCCCTCTTCCTGCCCTGCATCCCCATCTCCAGTAAAAAAGAAATCTGACTTCCATAGATGCCTGTCCCCGGACTAGATGCCACCTCCAAGGATAAGAAGAGACCACGTCCTTCCTTCAGCAAGAAGAGGTAGAAAACCTAAATCTCTTGAGAGATATTTCCTGGAAAAGAAATATAGCCTGTCCTCAAAGACAGAGAAGCAAAGTAAGTAAGAACAGGACATTCTTCCCCAAACCGACACTTCTGGGCAGGCCCCCAGGTTAGACAGTAAGACCCATCACTTCGGACAACCAGGGGGACTGTTTTACCAAATCTGGCAGCGCTCAGGGTCCCCAGGGTTCAAGGTGATTTTCTTCCCGGGCGCTAAGCGCCGGCCGGCCGCCTCGCACACAGGGCAGTCTTCAGGGTTGACGCAGGTCTGCAAAAGCTCATCTAAGATTTTCCCTGCATGAGAAGCCTCTCGTTAGGAGCCAAAGTTCTCACCTTTCCCACAAGGAAGACTCTCCTTGCACTAGAAGGCCTGTCCCAGCTCTGCCTGCCTCCCCCAAGGGTCCCCTCACAGCTTAGGGAGCATCCTTCTTTCTGAAAAATTAGGAGGGGGTGTTCCTTCCCCCACCTCGCCTCCTCCAAACCCCAGGACAAAGCAAATCTTATCTCCAAGGGTCTTTTTGCTCCTCCACCGAAGGAGATATCTGATAACTCTAGATCTGTGCTATCCAATACTGTAGCCAGTAACCACATGTGGCTGGTTACGTTTAAATCTCAATTAAGTAACATTCAATAAAATTGAACATTCAATTCCTCAGACACATGAGCCACATTTGAATAGGACTTTCCCAGCACTGCGGAAAGTTCTACCAGAAAGCGCTGCTCTAGATGATACGCCCATAAATAGACCCCAGAAGCACTGCATGGGAGCTCAGCTTGACAAAAACCACAGCTGGCCTGGCTCTGGTGGAAGGACACGGAAACACGACCTAGGGTAGTGGGGCTGGGGACAGGGCGCCACCAGGCGAGGCCGAGAAGAAGCAGTGCAGGGAGCCAGCTTTCCTGAGGATCATCCCAGCCCCGCACCCCTTCCCCGCGGGGGCCAGGGCCTCACCCGGAGGGCAGTGTGCGTGACAGCCCTCCACACACTGCACGGGGCAGGCCAGCGGCTCAGGGTGCTGGCACGTGACGGGACAGGCAGGAGCACAGCTGTTGTAGCGCCACTCACACTGGTACCCGCTGTCCCGCAGGTTCCGTTCCTCGCAGCTCTGGGCTGTGCAGACCCCAAAACAGGCAGGACCGTTATTAAAGCACCGGGCAACCCTGGGCAGCCCCAGGCAGACGGCCCCAAGGAGGGGATGAGGGTACTGGGGAACTACGGAGTCGCCCACGTGAGAGGCGTCTAGGCTTTGAGAGCCCCTGAGCCAGAAGCCTCGTGGTTCTGAATCCATTTTCCTTATAAAAATGATCAGCCACTTACATGCAGGAAGGAAGACACAACATAAATGTCTGAGCTGCTTGACCACGATGGCAAATGTGATCGTGTCTAATCACAGACACTCTGACCACCTTCTTCTCTTCGTCACTGCTCCCTCTTCTCCATTTCCTTGAATCTCTCTCCCCATTGCTCTCTCCCCGTCGCTGTCTCCAGTCCCACGCCTCCTCATGCCCATGCATGCCTTAACCCCCTTCAGCCTCGGCCATCACCCCCGCATGGGTCTCTGTCTTCTCCCCCACCAAGGTGCCCTTCCTCACCCCCCAAGGTCTAAATGCGCGAGGGGGGAGGGGCGTGTCTGAGACCACGAGGGACAGCAGGACTCACGACACAACGTGGCCGTCCTCCAGGCCACCACCTCGCCGTGCCGGGCACACACGTGGGCGTAGGCAGCGATGGTGTCGCAGAAGCAGGCACAGTCCCCGACGGACTCGCAGGAACAGGTGTCGTAGATGCAAACATCCAGGTATGGCTCGGGGTCCACCTGCAAGGGAGATGCAGGTGGCCTGGGCTGCACTTGGGGACTCTGGCTCTTGGTCTGGGCGTGAATGTTCCAGTGGTCAGAGGAGGGACAGGGGCTCCAGGCAGAAGGAAAGATGTGAGGCAATGGTCCCAAGGAGGAAATGGGTAAAAAGGCAGAAATCCTACGTTCTTATGTGGAGTCCAGCAAGAAAAGGGGAAAAAAGAAACCTTGCTAGCCTCTCCTAGAAGAGATGTGCCTGAGAATTTTTCAAAAGAACATTCCTTTCTGTCCATCTGTCCACGTACCTGCTCAGCCATCCATCCGTCCCCATAAGCCACTCCCACCCTCTTGGGTGTCTGCGTGTTTTACATAAACACCACACACACACACACACACACACACACACACACACACAAACACACTCTTTCCTGGCCTCCACTCAGCAAAGAGACTGAGGAAACACATCAGGACCACTCACGCTGTCTCGCTGAGATGCTACAGGCTAGCGTGCTGGACCGCGGCCGGCCCAGTGCTCCTGGACTCCGACCCTAAATCTCCCCGGAGGGGAAGCCCACCGTTGGTCCGTGCTCAGTCTCAGGAGCCACCTCTCACCTTCGGCTGCCCCAGACATGCCCCCCACACCCACCTTGTTCAGGGCAGTTGTGGTGAGAATGAATTCGGACGTTAGGCCGGTCACTGTGCCCAACAGCCCCGGTTTCCCTGACCCTTTCACTGTCTCCGCCCTTCCAGCTCAGGTGCCTCAGGTCTCCACCAAACCAGGGGATCCTAAGTATCCTTCGGGTCCTGAGGGATTAAAAATCACTGGATGGACCGAAAGAGCTGAGACACAGGTGTTCAACCAGTCACTCCCACGAGGGAGGTGCCACGGAGCAGCACGTGTGTGTACCTGGCTGTGTGTGTGTGTGTATGTACATATACATATACACACATGTACCCACACATACACAGGTGTGCGTATATACATTCATACAGAGATAGAGAGAAAATTGCATCGAAGCTTGTTTGGGGAATTCCTTGTCACCTTGTGAGATAAAGACACAAAAAGAACCTGCTGTGGAGCACAGGGGACCGTACTCAGTAGTGTGTAACGGCCTATACGGGAAAGAATCTAAAAAAGACAGTGGACACATGTCTATGTACGACTGGTTCACTTTGCTGTACAGCAGAAACTAACACAACATTGTAAATCAACTATATTCCAATAAAAAAAATGTTTTAATAAAATAAAATAGAAAACCCACAAGGACCTACTGTGGAGCACAGGGAACTCTGCTCAATACTCTGTAATAACCTAAATGGGAAAAGAATTTGAAAAAGAATAGACACATGTATATGTATGAGTGAATCACTTTGCTGTACATCTAAAACACAGCATTGTTAATCAACTACGTTCCAATATAAAATAAAAATTAAACAACAACAAAAGACACCGAAAGAAGCCATAGAGTGCAGGCTGAAAATCTTGCTTCAAGACCAGAAAGGAGTTTCCGTGAGACAAGACCTGGGAACGGGGGCAGCGGCGCGGTGCCCGGGGCCAGAGACACGGTGGGCATGGGAGAAGGAAGCTCCCGCTCTGATGTCGGAGACAAGATAATCTGTGGGCGACAAACCCTAAGACTGAGGCTGGAAGAGCAGCAGCATTGGATGCCCAGAGAACCATGCAGAAAAATGACCTGCCGGGCACTGCTCTCCTCATACACCCTGTTCTTTCTGTTCCCCAGCCTGAAGCCAAGAGAGGCGAGCAGCTGCAGACGATTTCTGAGGCTCCTGGAAGCATCCACAGCTAGAAGCGCCTGCCCCCGGGGGCCCCGCCGCCCTCACCAGCCTGTTGCACTCCCGGAAGATGTCGCTGGTGAGGACGCTGCAGGAGGAATCCACCATCGTCTGCTTCAGGACGTTGTTGTGGCAGGTGGCAGGGGATGGGTCCAGTGTCACCTGGGGAACCGGGCAGGAGTACACAGATGGACCCGGAAGAGTCAACCCGGAAGGGCTCCAAGAGGCCCTCTCCCCAAGCTCTGCCCCCGCCAACAGGCCATAGCACCCACCGCCCACGGTCCGCACCACGTCCCCGACCTACTTTCTGGGTGTCGGCGCACCGCGGGCTCACTTTCCAGGAATTCCCAAAGTCCACGGGGTCTTCCTCCACTTGGAGGCTACTGCTGGTGAGGTCGTTGTTCTGAATGCCGTCAAAGTTCCCACACAGGCCACACACCTGCTCCTGGGGGACCAGTTGGGAGCATAAGCTTTGCAAACCTCAGAGCAAACTCTGAGTCAGGAAAGCGAGGGTTCCAGGCAGCATGGGAGGCAGGCTCGCCTGAGGAAGAGGAAGGTGGGAGGGGACAGGGAGGGAGACCAGGGTGACCAGCAAAGTCTTGACCTTGCCAAGGCCTTTGCCCGGCGTCCACAATGACCTCACGTTAAGGTTAAGGAAACCAAGGTCATTCACAAAGAGAGGCAGCCCGCCCATGTCCCTTGGATGGCCAACTAGGCCTCCAGGGCCCTGGTGTCTGCAGTATAAACCATCCGCTGCCCCAGTAAGGGTCTGAGCAGAAGAGGCGCTGGTCCAGCATTACACCAATGAGGGTGTGAGAAGTCTGAGGGGGGAACGTTCTAGTCCTACTTGACCGTGGACAGGTGAGTCCCTTACCTAAACAACTGCAGCCTGTTCGGAGCAGGCTGGCCAGCACTAAACACCCCCAGGGCTGACATAATATCTTCCTCAATTCCACGTTCACCTATCATGGGCTGCAGGACACAAGTCCTGACCGACTAACGAATGAATGGGTGGAAACCATCACATAAGAACCCTGGACAAAACCGGAGCTATTTGGCCTGGAAAAGAAAAGATGCCATGCTCTTAGAACAAATTTGGAGCCCTGCCTCGGGACAAAGAGACGTGACTTATTCTATTTTGCTGGGAAACATGGACAAAAGGACAGAGATCTTTACATGGCCCAACAGCCCCCATGGCACGGCCCCTGCCCCGTCCCTGCCCTTGTTAACTACCAGTCACCCCAAGCCCCTCCTCTCCAGCCACCCTGGCCTCCGTGTCCAAACACAAACACCGTCCACCTTAGGGCCTTGGCACCTGCTACTCCATCTGCCTGAATTCTCGAGTCAGGATATTTACGTGGCTCCTTCCCTCCCTTCCACAAAGACTCCACTCACACCCTTTGAGACAGGTGTCATCAGACCAACCAATCTAACACACACAATATCCCCACTAGAATATGATCTCCACCAGGGTTGTTGTGGACAAAACCATGGTGCCCGCAAAGATATCCATGTTCTCATCCCCGGAAGCAGGAATATGTTACCACACGTGGCAAAAGGAACTTTGCAGGGGTGATTGCGTTAAGGGTCCTGAGATGGGAAGACTGTCCTGGATCATCTAGGTGGGTTCAGTGCAATCACAGGGTCTTATAAGGAGCACAGAAGTCAGGGTGAGAAATGTGATGTGACAGGGAGAAGCAGAGAGAGTGGAAGACGCTATGCTGTTGGCTTTGACGATGGAGGATGGGACCACAGCCAAGAGATGTGGGCAGCCCCAGAAGCTAGGAAAGGCAAGAAGACAGATTTTCCCCTAAAGCCACCAGAAGGAATGCAGCCCTGCCGACCAATTGTATACTTTTGACCTCCAGAACCAGAAGATAATCTATTTGCGTTGCTTTTCTAAGCCACTAAGTCTGTGGTAATTTATTATAGCAGCAATAGGAAACTAATACGAAGTTAAGATACATATAAATATATAACTATATACATATGTATATATATTTATATATAGTTCTTTCCCTGCTGTGTCCACAGTGCCTAGAACAGTTGCTGGGAAGGTCTGTCCTGCCACCAGGGCAGACAGAGCACTTGTCACATTCATGCCCGTCAGAGAAAATGAAGTCCCAGCAAACCATCGGAACCTGGACGGATCCTGCGAGCCGCTTTCCCCAAAGCAGGTGCCGAGCAGTTTCACTGCAAGCGTCGGCCGATGCTGGCCTGTGGCCCCGTGGGAGGGTGCACCCGGAACGCTCTGCAGAGTTGTGATAACATCACGCATGACCGTTTGCCTCTTGAGGTTAAGAAACCTTGAGAACAGCTCTTGCCCGATCTTTTCTTTCCTTTCTTTGTGGATATAAACTGCTTGCCTAGCAAGGCCACTCAAGGGACTGTTTGCAGGGTCCGGGAACCCTCCCTCTTTCTCAGAAAGAGCCTGTCTCGGGAACAGCCAAGGTGAACGCTAACCCTTGAGTCTTATTTGCAGCGGGAGGGAGGCTGGACTAGGTGACCACCCGCCCTCCCCCAAGACGGCGGGCGGGGGCCGCGGACTGCTGCCCAGGAAGCTGAAGATGCAACCGGACAGGATGAGGGGGAAGCGGAGAAGGGCCACCCACCTGGTAAGTCTGCTTCAGGAACACAGAGATACCCAGGTGGCGGTCCCAGACCACGGAGAGGGCCTTGCCCAGCAGCACAGTGATGTACAGGCCGGACTCCACCACCTCAAAGTAAGTCTCATCCTTCATGGACCTCTTCACGCTCACCTGAGGGAGGACGCAGGGTGAGATCAGGACAGTGACGGTCAGGTGTAAGGCCCGGCTCCACCCGCCCCACGGCCCTCCAGAGCCGCTGGTCATTTGCCCCGTTCGGCCAGAGCTGCGTCCATCTTGCCTACCTCTCTCCAAGAATCCTAGGATAAAGAGGTGGTGGCAAAAACATAATTACGAGATTAAAAATACAATGAAACCTACTGGCAGAAGATCACCTATCACGTCATGAAAAGAATTTTTTGGACACTTGATCATTAAATACACATGGTCCCCTAAAGATGTTTTTAATGTGGTGATGGTTTTAAGCACCTCTAGGCAACTGATTTAAGATGGACCTAGAGACTGTCATACAGAGTGAAGTAAGTCAGAAAGAGAACAACAAATACCATATGCTAACGCATGTATATGGAATCTAGAAAAATGGTACTGATGAACCTAGGGGCAGGGCAGGAATAAAGATGCAGACGTAGAGAATGGACTTGAGGACACGGGGAGAGGGAAGGGTAAGCTGGGACGAAGTGAGAGAGTGGCATGGACATATACACACTACCAAATGTAAAATAGATAGCTAGTGGGAAGCAGCCGCATAGCACAGGGAGATCAGCTCAGTGCTTTGTGACCACCTAGAGGGGTGGGATAGGGAGGGTGGGAGGGAGACGCAAGAGGGAAGGGATATGAGGATGTATGTATACATATAGCTGACTCACTTTGTTATACGGCAGCAATCATTGTAAAGCAATTATACTCCAATAAAGATGTTAAAAAAATAAATTAATTACATAAAATAAAATCCCTTATTGGCTTATTAAAAAATAAATCCACCCCTTTATTAAAACGAGCACTAGATTCTCCCCTTTCCTCCCATCTCCCACTCGAGTTGCCGTCAGCAGGAGTCACAGCTGAACAGGGAGACAGGGAAGCTCGGCGCTGGAAGCAGGAATCCCAGACTTCAGCCCCCAAAGGACCTGAGCCCTTGACTCAGCTGACTCGCTGCCGGTGCCGAGCCCTCCCTGCCCGTTTCACGGTACTTGGCTGACCATATAACCCATAAGACTGAGGCTGACGCTAAGAACCTGTCACCCCTTCACCAAGGTCCTCTCCCTGGGGACACACCACAGGCAGAGCCTCCCACTCTATGTCACCACTGTCATCTGTCCTAAGTAAAACTGTCCCTGAAATGGACACGGCTGACCCAAGTCAACAGGTCCTGCTTGCTCCACAGCTATCTTCTCTAAGGGAGGAGAATCCACCTCCCACCCCCTGGTATCAGCGGGGGATCCTCCCGGACCGGGGCACAAACCCGTGCCCCCTGCACCAGCAGGCGGACTCTCAACCACCGTGCCACCAGGGAAGCCCAGTGGTGGGTATTTGCCAGAAGGTAGGATGCGGGCTGAGGCCACAGAACAAAATGAAGATATGGGGAAGGGGTGAGCCCAGACCCAGGTCTCCCAGGTACCGATGTGGCCAGACCAGCACAGCTGTGCTCCAGGGACCCCTGCCACTTCAGACGCAGGTTCCTGGGCCTCACCCAGACCTGAGCCAGGACCTCAGGGTGGACCTGAAGGTTGGTGTCTTAAACAAGGTCTCCTGGGTGGTTCTCAGGTAGACCTCTGAGAGCCACTCCGTGAGCTCTTAGCACACAGGGCCTGAGTCTGTGCACTTTGAGCTCTTTAGCAAAGATTTTATCTAAAAAGAACCGAAAAACATAAAAGAAGGTAAAAATCCCCCCAAACACCATCATCTCCCAAAATATATATTTATATATGCGTGTGTATATATAACATATTGGATGTATAATAAGTGTATATACTTGTATATATACTATATATGTGTATATATTATATACATGTGTGTATATATTTTTGTGAATATATGTATACAAGTGTGTATATGTGTGTATACATTAGTATATAATATATAATGTGGGTATATAATATATACTATATATGTGTGTATATGCGTGTATATATTTGTATATATAATATATGTAAATGGGATATATCTGTATATTATGTATACATGTGTATATTTGTATGCATAGTATACGTGCATATATGTGTATATACATTTGTATATATAATACATATAACTGGGTATATATGTGTGTATATTTGTATGTATAATATATGTGTACATGTGTGTACATTCATATATATAATACATAAAACTGTGGGTATATAATACATATGCATTTGTGTGTATACTTGTATGCATAATATATGTGTATACATTTGTATATATAATACATATAAATGTGGGGTCTAATGTATATGTGTGTACTGTGTATAACGTATTTGCATTTATAATGTATGTGTACATATGTGTTCATATATTTGTATACATTATATTTATATATATGTCAGTATATAATATATATGTATATATGTGCATATACATTTGTATATATAATATATATGTGGGCTATAATATATATGTATATATGTGTATGATATATTTGTATATATAATATACGTGTATGTGTGTATATTTGTATATATAATATGTATAACTGTGGGTATATAACATATATGTATATGTGTGTATGCATAGTATACTCGTGTGTGTGTGTGTATATTTGTATATATAGTGTGTATATAATACATATGTATACATGTGTGTGTATATACGTATTCCTATATGAAAGTCCTCCCACCCTCCCATCTCCCGTCGCCTCCGGAGGTCAGCCCTGGCTCTCCCAACACTGGTGCAGATACGGTTACACACCCTTCTTCACATGTGTGTCGGCACTTCCTTCCACTAAAATGGATCGTGTAATCTGTCACCACCTGCCACCCGCCACCCTCACAGGACGAGGCGAGGTCAGAGGATACAGCGCTACCTCATCTCTCCACTGGCTGCACGACGTTCCATCCACACACGTTCTGGACGAACACTCGGCATGTGCTCGTCATCAGCCGACGGAGGGGCGTGAGGGTGGAGGGACGAGCCCACACTCACCTCCCCATCAAACAGCTCAATCTCGCCTCCTTCCACAAGGATGGTGACGCGCCTCCTGCATTTCAGGGAGGGATAGCCGCACCCCTCGTTCCCCACCAGGATCCGGAAGGTCCCAGGGTTACTGCCACAGTAATCCTGGGGAAAAACAGGTGTCAGGATAGAAACACTATCCCTGCTACTCCTCCCCAGATCAGCAGACTGGCGTCCCATCACCTCAGGCCTTTGAAGGATGTGTTACAGGAGGTTGCCATGTCCACGTGTGTGTGAGAGAGACAGACAGACAGACAGAGACGGAGGACACTCACAGGTGTGTCATCCTCAGCCATCACCTATGAACCAGGTGCCTACAGCCAGGTGGGGGGGGTGAGGGGTGGGAGGGAGAGAAGGAGGGACACAGGGAGAGGGAACGTGGACCCATCAGCCTACAGCTCCCCCTGAGCCTGTTAGTCCAGCCTCAGCCGGGGAACTAGCACAGTCCAGCCACGTGGCACTTGGCAGCTCTAAGTTCTGGTGGAGTCCCTCTGGACTGCTGGCCCAGAACTGTAACCAAAGACTGCCGGACCCAGCAACACCAGCTGAGCTACTGTCCCTAGCAGGGAACAGAGGGTATGGGAGCACTGGTCCTCGCTGGGGAATTGCATAGAAAGGAAGCAAAAGCGGACACGTTTCTGGCAAATATCTCCCATGGTGGCTATTGCTGTGATGTGATGGGGAAAAAAACACCCAGCACAGAAAAGCTAGGGGTGGGCCTTGTTTCTGCCACTTACTGGATAATATTGAGTAAGTCACTTACCTCTCTGACCCTCAAACACACACACATACACATACACACACACACACAGAGGCACACGTACAGAGACACACGTTCATATACACACAAAGACACACACACATACATACATTCCACACACACGATGTGCCCCTCTGTAAGATGCAATCCGCCCACTTGATGGGATTGGTAGGTTAAACGGGTTTGTCTTAGGTTAACGGGATTGTGAAAGTTAAAAGAGGGAACGAAGGTACAAGTGCTTTGTCACCAGCTGAGATTTTTCTGAAGGAGAACGAGTTAAGTCCTGATAACACCTCCCAAAGGAGGAAGGGAGGAAAGGGAGGGGGGCCCCGGACAAAGTATCAGAGGGGACAACGGCACTGGCGGTGGGGCAGGAAAAGCAGCCCCACGAGGGGCACGACTCAGAGGGACTCCGACTGGCTCCTAGGCAGGAAGAGCTGGGGCGGTAGGTCTGACCGGCCCCTCTCGCTGCACTGAAATGTCGTGTTTTCTGGGTGCCCAGATCTGAACCTGGCTGGGGAGTGGAGCCCCAGAACTGGTATCACCCCATCTTCTGCTACCAAGGCTGGGAGGCAGACAGATAACAGAAAGACGGGCTTCCATAGACGATGTGTGGGAAAGCCCTAGAGGGTTCCTGGGTGTGGGTAAAAGCATTTCGTGGGGTGCACGCCCGTCTCCCCAGCGCACCGCCCACCTCTCTGGGGCCAGCCTGGGGCGCGGGCCAGAGGCAGGGGGCTCGCTCCCCGCGCGCTGGGCAGGCGTCAGGCTTGGTGCCCCTGTCCTCGTTGCCTGACTCCCGGGCCCTGCAGCTCTGTCTCTGGGGCTGAGGCTCCCTCGGGTCTGCGGTCCTCCCTCCAGCCCACACCGAGCCCCTCCCCTGATGCCCCCGAGAGCGGAGACGGAGAGACCACAGTTGTTTAAGCTGCGCAGAGCCCAGCCGCCTGGAGGACAAAGCGCTCGGCCCTCCTTGCTCACCCACGTCGGTGTCAACCAGCAAGAGAAACTTGCAGGAACCTGTGGGCGGGAAAGGGGGCCAAGCAGCCCTCACGCAGCAGCTAGGATTCCCCCAGGCCGCTCCTCGGCCTGCCGGGCAGCGGGACCTTCTGTACCCACAGTCCCTCACCGCCCCCCCATTCTGAGCTGCACGAGGTTAGAAATGAAAATGGTGGAGAATGCGATGGAATGGAATGGGGACTTCCCTGGCGGTCCAGCGGTTAGGACCCTGCGCTCTCACTGCCGAGGGCCCGGTTCAATCCCTGGTTGGGGAACTAAGATCCCACAAGCCTTGAGGTGCGGCAAAAAAAAAAAAAAGAGAATAGAATAGAACAGAATAAAATAGAATAGAATCACAGGGCGGGAACCAAACTCCAGGGGTCATTTCAACCTTCCCTGAGTGGGCTGCTCACTGCCCAAGGATGCTGGCAGGAAGGGTGCTGGGGCTGAAATCCAGCCCGGGCTCCACTCCCCACTGGTCCCCTGACTGAGGCCGTGCCTGCAGAAGGAAAGGGAGCCTTCCTCTCGTTGCATTGTGCTGGGACTGGGGCGGATGGGAGCCTGCCCCACACCAAGGCCAGTCAACGAATGAGCTTCTGCCCCGTCCTGGGAGGTGTGCAGGTGAGCTGGAGGAACACAGCAGTCACTCGAGTCTCGAGGTCCTGCCTCTCCAGGAGCTGGAAAATCACTCCCGTAGAAACCAGCCCCCAGTGCTGTTTCCACCGACAGAATGGTGGCATCCGGTCTGGGAGCACACTCACCCCCGAGCCCTGCTCTCACCTGTGCCAGGACGTACTGGCACTCCCCGGGAAACAGGTACTTGAGCCCGTCAAAGGTGAGGTAGTGAGCCAGGCCCAGGGCGGAGCAGGTGGCATCGCACACGTGGTCCGTGCAGTTCCACTTCCGGTCCCGACAGACACTGGGAACAAGATGAGGGGGGTGAGGGCGGGGCCCTCGGGCGTCGGTTCAGCAAGGATGCCACCCACCCTCCAGGAGGCCTCAGGAAGCGTCGGGAGGGTGGTCTGCAGCCTGTGGATCGGACCTCACAGGGCCCCACGGTCATGAACCCACACATTTTTAGAGCACGGGGCCCAGGAGGAGAGGGAAGCCATGCTGCCCCCACCCCCGTCACGAGGCAAAGAAGGGCCCTGGTTGGCTGAGGTGACCCAGGGACACTCTGTCACCACCTGCTCCGGACGTGCCAAAGCCCAGTCTCCCAGGACATCACCTGGGAGGGGCCACAGGGTCTCTACAGAAAAGACACTGAGGCCGATAGCCCCTCTGAGGCTAAGGGGACACACGTCCAGAATGGCAGGAAAATTCTGAGCTGGGGAAACAGTGACCAGCTGTGAGCTTCTGCCAGGAGAGGGTGGGCAGCAATGTGTGTAAACCCGCAGCGACTTGCCGGCTGCCCTATGGCCCCATCCCTCCACCCAGTAACAGAGCCGATATCAGGAAGCCCGACAGGGGCGGCAGCGGTGGAAAGCTCAGACCTCAGGCCACAGACACTAAGCCCCTTACTGCCCGTCCCCGTGGCCCTTCCCTAAAGCTGTGCACTGCCCCAAAGAAAGGCACGGTGAGTGAGCAGAGCCTGGGGTTGTGTGGACGACGGTCTCTTTCCAGGCAAGCACACTCGCAATATGGCTGGGGGACAGGACAAGGCCAGAGGAGGACCCCTGATCCCGTGCCCTGGGATAGCTTGGTCACACATGCAGTGATGGATATGGCCCTTATCTTCCCCAGGAAACACTGCTGTCCAGAAAGTGTCCCCGTGGGGTGAGTACACGGGATGATAAAGTCTCCCATTTGACAGATGGAGAAACAGAGGCACAGAGAAAAGGAAAGGAGCAGCCACGTTACCATGGGTGGGAGGGGAGCAAGTACCAGAGCAACACCCCACCCCCCGTCCCCAGCATCGCTGGAACCCTTCCCGGCCTCACCAAGTATTGCAGTCCACCTTCACCGTCTCTCCGGGGGTGTACTCTCTGCCCTGGTGGAAGCAGGGACACCTTTCCAGGGCCACACACCTGTTGTCCTGCCGGACCTAAGGGAAAGCGATCCAGGAGTCTTGGGGCCACAACGAGTGATCCAACAGCCGCGGCCAGAGGCGGCCCAGGGAGCCCATGCCCAGTCTGGGGCTGGAATCCCGCCTCTTGTCTACACTGGTCCCCCTGGCTCAGCTGAAGACACTCTGACCCCCTCCGCCCTCATACACTGCAGGGGCAGGAGCCCTGGGACCTGGTGGAGACTCTGATAACACATGTCAGAAGCCCTTGAGACATGCATCTCCTTAGACCCAATAATTCCTCCAGAGGACTTCTCCAAAGGTAATAGAGTTATAGGCAAAAACTAATGTACAATTATTTATCATTCCAAAATAAAAATGGAAGCAACTAAGTGTTCAACAATAGGAACGTGATTAAACCCATTAAGGAACCTCCAGGTGATGGTGTCCTGTGGAGCGCATTAAAATCTGAAAAGTTTTGAGAACTACTTATGCTGTTAATTTCTAAAACAAGGGAGAAATAAAACTGTATACACATATGGTCCCAATGATTAATATATATATGCATATATTTCAAAAACAAAAAAGTCTTGAAGGAAATATATAAGTTGCCTCCAAAGGGCTTGGGAAGTGTAGAAGTTGCCTCTGGTGGGCTAGGATAAGGGAATCTTATTTTCTTTTTTGGTTTTAAATTTTTTTTCTGAATGTTCTTCATTGAGCATCTACTATGTTCTATAGCTGAAGAAAATGGATAATGTATTTAATAAAATGAATTAATTAGTGAACAATGCACCTAATGCCCTAGAGGTGAAAGTTGAATAGTGGCCACAGGCAGGGATGGACCAGAACCAGAGGCTGGGGGTTTTCAAGCCCCACGAGCACCCTTGTCACCCCGTCCCCTGACGGTCCAACACACCCTCACAGGGCCTGCCCTTCTTCCCCACCCCCCCACCAGTGAAGGAGTAACTACGTGACAAGTTATACTCCTCAGGGGTGCCGGGGCCAGGAGGAAAAGAACGAAGACCCGCTGGCCCCAGTGACCTTAGGGAGAGCTGGCCAAACCCACTCTGATCCCACATGTAGATCTGCTTCTGTCCCAACCCTAGGAGGCAGCCCTGGACGCCGGCTCTGCGTGACCCTGGGTGAAGGGACCACGGCACTCTGGTTCCAGAGCCACCCGAGGGGTGAGAAGCTGCTGGTCTGGGTGCCTTAGCATCTGTGCGATCCCGTCACTCTGCAGACAAGCCTGGGTTCCCTGGGCCTATAGCCAAACAAAGCCCTGGGACAGAGCGGTCTTGGGCTGAACAAAGACTAAACTCATGTGTGTGCATATGTATATGTATGCATGCAAGTGTGTGTGTGCATGCGTCTGTATTTGCATGCATGTTTGTGTGAGTTTGCGTGTGTGTGCATGCATGTGTATGTGTGGGTGCATGTGCGTGTGTGTGTGTTTGTGTGTTGGAAGGGGTGGAAAGAAGAACCTCCACGACTCAGCCACCAGCTTCATGCAGCCTCTGGAGTGTTCCCGAGTCCCCGAGGCCTAAGGGAAGGGGCAGGATGGGAGCCAGAGTGAGGAAGATGCAGGGGGACCACGCTCTAGGTGGCTCATACCTCCGGGGGCCACAATGTCCTTGGCAGACATCCAGCTTAGGCACCCAGGAAGGAGGATGGCAGCCCAGTGGGAACAGGGAGGATGGGAAACGTCCCTCCAGCCCAGTCTTCAAAAGCCTTGCAATCAGGCTTCACCCCCGCACCCCCCAAGCTTGTCATCTTTGATGTAAGTCCCAGACCCGCCACCTCGTGGCTACTCTGGGAATGACCGTGGCCTCCCTGTGGACCCCCGGCCTGCTCGCCAGCCGGGGCTCCTGCAGTTAATGGAGACCAACCAGACAACGAGCCTCGTTATGGGAAACATTATGTGAGGCGAAACGATGCAGGGTGGATTCCAGAAAGCGGCCCTGCTCACCTCCCCTGAGCGGAAGCAGGCTGCGGGGAGGGCTCCCAGGCCTCTTGGTCTGCGTGCTGGACGTTTTTACCTCTCTCCACGGTGGTCAACCCACTGACAAAAAGTCCTGCACTCCCAGGGCCCAGGTAACCCCTCGCCTGGGCCAGGGGTGAGTCCCAGGGAGCCCGGCCCTCTTCCAAGGGACAGAAAACTCAAATCCCAGTTTGGCCATGAAATAATACTGTCACCCCCTTCCGAGCTCTCACTGACAAACCACATGGCTCCTCTCTGCCCTGCTTATTTTAGTGAAAGGAGATGACTAATTGATGGATTATGATATTAAAATAGGACCTTGGTATCAAATGAGGACAGGGGCATGGGTTTAGACCTAGGTCAGAGGTGGAGGAAGCAAAGTGGAGCCTTAAAGGGAGAGGAGAGGTTTCTCAGCAGGAGGCTCCCGACTTGGAACAGAAGATCAAATATCACCAGCCTAGCCAAAAGCACCCAGAGTCCTAAAGCGCTAAAGAATCCACAGAGATAGAAAGATAAAGACACAAGCAGGAGACGGACGGGATGGAGATGAGAACAGGTCCACGTGTAGGGTGGGCCAGTACAGCAGCCCCGAAGTGAATTTCGTGCAAGTCACTTACTTAAACTTCATGTTTGAAAAGAAGAGAACCATTCCTGCCTAGTGTTTTTCCCTTCAGGACACCAGAAGGATAATAAGATAAAGCTGACGAAAGTTGACGAATGTCCTTCAAGGACTTCAGAAGAAAACAGGCAGAAATAGCTGTCGCCATTGTTTATCAGCTCATGACACCTTGAGTAAGAGAGGCTCGTGCTGAGAGCACAGTCCTGCGTCTTGATCAGCAAGAAAAAGTATGAAGTAGAAAAAAATTGGCATTGTTGCTCTTCTCTGAAAAGGCCCCATCTTCACCCCGCCATACTGACCCACTCTCCAGAATCTCTTATTGCCTTCCAGCTGTCCTCTGTTCTCCCCACCAATACTTCCAGCTCAATGCAGCTGCCTTCAACTAGATGTTTGCTAGAGGAAAGAATCTGATGAAATAACTCATGCTAAAGTGTGAATGACTTCCTATGAGGATTTATAAGGGAAGCTTTTTTTTAAAGTTGTTTTTTATTAACCAAACTAAATTCATACCTATTATATTTCAGTAAACCTGATTAGGTGACAAATCATAGGAAGTGCAGGAGATATCTTTGAGACAGGGGGGCTTTCTTGGGCCTTTTAGAATTACGTCTCGTAGGATTTACAGTGCGCACATGAGAGGCCCTCTCTGGATGGGCCCCTGAGCCCAAGCCCTACCTTTCAAAAAGCAGCGCCAACCAAAGGGGAAAGGGGGGGAGGGATAAATTGAGAAATTGAGATTGACATATACACACTACTATATATAAAATAGATAACTAATAAGAACCTGCTGTATAGCACAGGGAACTCTATTCAATGTAATGACCTATATGGGAATAGAATCTAAAAAAGAGTGGATATATGTATAACTGATTCCCTTTGCTGTACACCTGAAACTAACACAACATTGTAAATCAACTAGACTCCAATAAAAATTAATTTAAAAAAAAAACACACACACAAAAAAAACCAAATAGCAGTGCCAAAGGCTTTTCGGTCTTCATAGTGGGCCAGTGAGAAAACTGGGCCTCAAAGGACCAGGGAAATGAACACACATCTCAGCTGCTGAGAGCTTTTCCAGTACCAGCAGAACTGGGTACCAGTTTGGAAAATGTGACCGCTGGACTTCAGAGCGTAAGTGAGCATCTCCCAGACAGGGGTACTACACTGGGAGTCAGGAGGCCAGGATTTCCACTACACAGTTATGTGGCCTTGAATGGTTCTGTGTCCTTTCTCTCCTCGGTCTCCTTCTGTGTGCTCGGGGCGGGGCGGGGCGGGGGGGGGGGGGGGGGGGGGTTGTTGAAAGCGTGAGTCTAGGGCTCCTGGCTCTGCCTGGAGACGATTACAGCCCCGACTGGGAAGGAGTGAGCCGGACGGTGGGTTGTGCTTTGCTGCCACCTCGTGGTGGAAGCAGGTAATAGTCTAATTTAAAGGCAGGAAGTGCATTCAAGGATTTTTTAACCGTAGAAAAATACTTGGGAAATTTTCTAGTGCAACCCCTTCATTTTATTGATCTAGTGGGTCTTACATGTGGATCCTGAGGTCCAAAGAATTGCTCCCCAGTGTGCATTAACTTCCTATAGCATCTCTGTCCATAATATGGTTCATGCTTTTCCTCCATGAACTTCTTGTAACCGCGGTCATTAAACCACCCCTTACGAAGCGACTTCCATGTACCCACCACTGTCACCTCCAACCCTCTCAAGAACCCTTCTGACCCAATTTTACAGGTGAGAAAAATAAAGACACAAAGATGTTAAGTGGCTTGCCACTCTGTTGAAGTAAACGTCAGGCGCCCAGATTCAAGCCTGGAAGCTCGGGGCAGCTTCTGCACCAACCACCCATCAGTGTGGTCAGAAAGCATCCTCACCCCTGGTCCTATGCAAGGAGACCTTGGCACCGGTGTCAGGAGCAGATGGAGTGAAGCAGAAAGCCTCTGATCTGAGCGGGTACCAGGCCCGGAACAAACTGCAAAGAGGGGGGAGGTCCCCAGGGCCAGTGCAGGTCTGTGAGGACGTTGAGTGCAGCCGGGAGGGTAGCAGGTGTTTAGAAAATCACGTGCGACATATCCTGTCTGTTACTCATGTTTGCATGTCATTGCCTTTTGCTTCATTTTTCTGATAATTCACTTCTATTATATTTACAAAAGCTTTGGTCCACAACAGATTGGAAATTTATGAAAATGGGCCCTTCCTGGGTCTCTCCCATGGACCAGAGGAGGGGGCCGGCCCAGCCTCTGAGACAGCCTCGGTTATGGACGAAAACAACAACTGAAGCTATTCCCATGATCCCATAGCACTTTCTGGTTTTAAAAGTGCTTTCAGGGCTTCCCTGGTGGCACAGTGGTTGAGAATCTGCCTGCTATGCAGGGGACACGGGCTCGAGCCCTGGCCTGGGAGGATCCCACATGCCGCGGAGCAGCTAGGCCCGTGAGCCACAATTACTGAAGCCTACGCATCTGGAGCCTGTGCTCCGCAACAAGAGAGGCCGCGATAGTGAGACGCCCGCGCACCGCGATGAAGAGCGGCCCCCACTTGCCACAACTAGAGAAAGCCCCCGCGCAGAAACGAAGACCCAACACAGCAAAAATTAATTAATTAATTAATTAACTCCTACCCCCAACATCTTCTTTAAAAAAAAAAAAAAAGTGCTTTCACATACGACTCCTTCAGGCCCATGTGTGAAGGCAGAGCAGGAATTCTGTGCCCATGTTGCAAATGAGGCAACTGAGGCTCAGCGAAAGTGAATGTGCGAAATCCAGGAGCCAGGAAGCGGTGCGGCCGGGCTGGGCCCTCGGGCCCCTGTTCCTACTCTCCCTGCTCCCTGTGGGTCTGCCCCCCAGGAAGGAGCTGCCCCCCCCTCCTCTCGAGTCCTCAGAACCCCTGACGTCTTCCCCCAAACCCTCAGTGACATGCCACAGCCTCCCACCTTCCACAGGGGATGGCCGACGAGACACACACCCTCGGAGGATGTCTGCACCCATGGGCCCAAACAGTGTTTTCCGCTCCTTTTCATTTGCGTGGAGGCCAAGAACACGGGTCGCGGGCGGCAGCCAGCACACCGCGCACTTCGTAAATCACGCAGACTTTCCTGCTCGCAGATCTGGCCTCCACGATTTGCATGTTAGCTGGCATCATAATGAAGCAGTTGTGAAAAGAGCCCAGTCTCGTATGCCACAAGCCTCAAGTTCACAACCCCTGCGGTTGGGGTGAGAGACACCTTGTTAACATGACAGATGTTCAGAGACTGTCCTCGGGAGGCCAGAGGCTGCAGGAGTGCCCACGAGTCCCTAACGATGCGTCCTCATCCTGCATTCAAAGCCTCGCTCTCCATTTGGGACAATAATGCGATTATTGTGGTTACTAATATTTAAGCCTCTCTGTACTATTTCCTTCGTGGGGAAAAAACAAGTTCATTTGAAAGAGCCCCTGATGCTTCCAGTCTCCTGAGCGGCATCCCTCTTTTTGCCAGAGCTTTCTCTGATGTCGGGAGAATTTCTTCTCCAAGTATGGAGAAGGAACAGTCAAAATAAGAGGCCCTTGGGGTAAAAAAGAACAATATGGAAGTTTCCTCTCCACGCTCCTATTTCTTGTCTGAGTTTCCCCCTCCTTTATACCTCCTTCTGCTAAGGCACCAAACAAGATCTTCCAGTTTAGGGATGTTCCCTAGCCAATCTCTAGCTCCCCCGTTAGAAAAGATAGTTCTAGAATCCTCAGAGGCTAAGACAGAAGGGAGCACCCAGGGAGAATGGAAAACAGCTAGTCTGTCCGTCTCGGAGGAGAGAGGGTTGGAGGGAAAGAGAGAGACCGTGTGCCCTGCACACACCCCAGTCCGCAGCCTTCCTGAGAGCCGCTGGTGATGCATCTGAGTTTCCAGCTCCCACAGCCCAGGATACTGCCCCCAAGCCGAGGCCTGGGCATCATGAATGACCTTTACAGCCATTAAGAGGGCCATCTTGCCTCCCCCCACCAATTTTGGCCTCTAGGACCCTCACCCCAGCCCTCACTGCTCACGTTGGGTATGGGGAATTAGAGAAAGCAAGAAGACGGGATGCATTTGAAAAAGAATCCAGAAGTTGCATCCTTCAGGGTGACAAGAATAGTCTGTGTATATTTAATCCACAGATGTCCTAAGACTAGACTTGGGACGGAGCTAAGGGGGCCTGGGTGTGCTCAGGCCATTGCCACCACCAGGATGCGCTAGGAGCCAGGCGGCCGCAGACCAGCAGCTGGGGGACCACGAGGAAGGGCTGGCCGAGGGTGACGGTTTGCAGCCTCAGCCCCAGAGACACGGAATGTTAGGAGCTGACCAAGACCTCATGGCTCACCCTACAGATGAGGAAAGCAAGGCTCGGTGTGGGGAAGGGATTGGTGGGCCCGCGGCTTGCTGACGGCAGTGTCTTCTCTTGAGATACAGAGTTATACACATAAACGCAAATCATATGCAAAAATGTGTGCGTGTGTGTGTGTGTGTGTGTGTGTGTGTGTGTGTGTGTGTGCATGCATGTGTCTCCTCATCTTCATACAATGGCATGCAGCCCTTGGGAAAACTCTAGTGGCAATGCCCGGTAGCACTTTTAAGTATTTTCCAGAAATCCTTGCCTCGCTTCCTAGGGCACCGCTGTGCTAAGTTCTTGTATTTTTGTCAGCTCTCACCAAGATGAAGATCAACCCCAACTCTCCCATCGGCTGTCTCCCTGCCTCTGGCGGCTGACTCAGCCACAGAGGACTCACCCCTGCCCCCGCCTGCACCCCGTCTGCAGCCCCAGTGCCGTCCTTGTGGAGCTCTTGTTTCTTTCTCTCTCTGCCTCTGCAGCCCACCTCACTGTCCCCTGCCCGCGGGAACCTGGCAGGTCTCCATCCCTCTGCGGCTTGGGTGGCTTACCATGCCCGGGGGGCAGAGGCAGCCGGACACGCAGCCCATGCTCACGCACTCCAGGTCGTAGTTCTGGCAGGTTTTGGCGCACTCCAGCCCTTCAGCCCTCGGGTTGTCAGCAGGACACACCAGCTTGACCATGGGGGGCTGACAGGACAGGCTTCTTTTGCCTTGGAGTCAGGAAAACCAAAGAGACGATCATTGAAGGGGTGAATGGATCTGCCGTCTACGCTGTCCTTTGCCCCCTGCGTGCAGTCACTCAACCCCAGAGGCTCAGACTGCCCACGCCCTGGGACAAGGCACTGCTGGACCTCCGGCTGGGTCCGGAATGGCAGCCTCATCTACTCATCTGAGCTCTGACCTCTTCCTACACTGAAGACGCCTCTGCCGAGCTCAGCATCCCTCTAAGGGCCCCCGGTCCTCATCCCCTTTGACCCTGCGTTGTTGCCTGCTGCACTGAACCAGGACGCGCTGCAGAAACGTCCAGAGCCAGGCTTTAAGGGACCTGGGTGTGGGTGCTTAAAAGGAACCTTTGCTCCAACACATTTAATTTTAAATTCCTAAAATTAATTAAATCACAACAACTTTAAAGGGGACTTTGCTCACGTGGCATCCTCTGCCCAGCCCCTGGCCATCCCAGCCGCTCTATTTAAACCTGTAACACTCCATCCCTGGACACTCCTACACTCCCTGCTTTGTCATTCTCCTCGCTCTGACATCACCATTTGAATGCTATTTATTTTCCTTCTTTGTTGACTGCTCAGCCGCATCCCACCCACACACTAGAACACAGGCTCCGTGCAGGCAGGGGGTTTTGTCGCTTTGTTCACTGTTCTATCTCCTGGCAATTAGTAGGTATCACTGTGTTGACTGAGTAAATGATGACAGCAGGTAACTGACACAGCACCTGTGTTTCAAAAACCCTGATGCACTGAATAGCATTTGTATCTTACATGCATATATATAGCATGTAGTAGCTCTTATGGACAAGAAAGTCAGAATTCCCAGCCTTGTTTTTATATGGAAACTTTTGTTGGGAAACTGAAACCCTAAGAGGTTTAATGGTTTTCCAAATGGCACAGAATTCTAGGAGTTTCCTGACTTTGAAAAAAAAAAAAAAAAAAAAAACCTTCCTGTCACTAGTCTAGAAGACTCTGGGCAAAAGAAGCATCAGACCTGAGAGACAGAACGCAACAGAGAGGGGTGGAGTGTAGGAAAAAAACGTTACAATGAGAGAGAGCAGGAAGAAGAAAGAGGCAGAGGGATGAGTGACCTTGAGGTCTGCTATGGACTGAATGTTTGTATCCCCCCAAAATTCACATGGGGAAATCCTAACCCCCAAAGGTGATGCTATTAAGAGGTGAGGTTTGGGGCAGGTGATTGGGTCATGAAGGTGGAGCCCTCAGGAATGGGATTAGCCTCCTTAGAGGACACCCCACGGAGTTCCCTTGCCCCTTCCACCAGGTGAGCACACAGCGAGGACCCAGAGGTGGGCCCTCAGCTGGCCATGCGGACATCCTGTTCTTGGACTCCCCACCAGGACCAGCCGGAAAACAAAAGCAGGCACAGAGCTGTGCCACTGGGAGAGAGGGGGCCTTAGGAAAGTGAGAGGTAGGGAGAAGACGTCAAGCTGGAGGCTGAAAATAGCCCATTTATCTGCCTAAGGGCATCTCGCTCCCTCCTACCAGGAGGGTCCTTTCTAAGCAAGGATGTTGGGTCCTTCTGACCCACAAACGTGGAATATGGTCCCACCAGGTCTCCCTCCTGTGCCTTGTCCTTGAACAGCGCTGCATCTATTAGGACCTTCAAACTGAGGGCACCGAGTCCAAACTCCTCTGTCTCAAATCCATCAGAGAAGCTTTCTAAAGAGGTGTTCCGGTCACCGTGTCCCTCGGTAAAATGAGGCCATGAAGGACCACTGTACCCACAGCTGCTCCCTGGGTTAAGTTTGCCATGGGCAGAAGAGAGATCTCCCTGGTCCATCCTGCAGGCAATTCAGTCTTTCCCCATCACAAAATTAAACTCTTCCTGCCTCAACAACTGGGATGTGTACATGCAAAGGCACCTCCAGGCCTGGAAGTCACACACACAAACGCGTGCCTGAACGCAGCCAGCTCCCTCACCCACACCACCTGAGCAGAGGGAGAGGAGAGCCCGTTGCGGGTGGTACTCACTGCGGTGGGACAGGGGGCTGCTGAGGACCGAGTCGGGCAGCAGGCTCCCCGGGGCTCCACTCGTGGAGCAGTGCATGAAGCCATCCTCACAGTAGCTGCAGAGAGGGGGTCAAAGCCTGACTTAGAGGGATTCCCCACCTCCCGCAGGGCACTCTGCCCCCTCCGGCCGGGCCGCCATCCCATAACCTGGCTGGAACACAGCTGCTAAGGCCACCAGTGACCGCCACGCCACTGGACCCAGTGCAGCTGTCTTCACTTCTCTCACTTCATCTCCTTCCACGTTAGTCAGCCCTGTCACCTGCTCCATCCTTCTACAAAAAGAAAACAAAACATCCCTCCTGGTTTTCCTCCCACTTTGCTGGTTGCTCGTGTCAGGCTCACTGTAGTTCCGCCCCTGCGGACTCATCCAGCCCCTCTCTCCTCCTCCTGCTGTGTGTGCCATTTGCAAGTCCAGCCCCAACTACAGAGAGGACTCACAGATTCACATCAGCAGCTCCGATCTCTCCGTTGAACTTAAGATCCACGTATTCAAATGCTTATGTGATAACCACCTGTGCGGCTCAGTGTGCCCAAAACTGAGCTCACTATCCCCCCTCCAAAGCCAATTCTCCCCCGGGGCTTGGATCCTTCGAATGAAACCGCCATCCATCTAGTTTCACAAACAGGAAACCCAGGGCTCAGCCCTGACACTGCCTTCTCCCCACCCGCTACACTCTATGCATCCCCAAGCCCTGGGCTTGGTGGCTTGAAGCTGGAAGCCACACCCACCTCCATCTCCACTGCTGAGCCCCACCCCCATCCCCCGGATGGTGCAGAAGCCTTCCGACCGATGTCCTGCATCTCTCCTCACCTCCCTCCAAAACACATACCTCATGGCAGCCCAAGTATCTTTGCAAAACCCAAATCTGATTATGTCACATTCCTGCTTGGAATCCTTCAATAGCTTCCCTTCAACAGGCTTTAGGAATGAAGGTCAAACCGCTCCCATGGCCTCCCAGGCTCCACAGGGTCTGAGCCCTGCTACCCATCCCCCATCCATCCCCCTGGCCTTCTTTTCATCCTGAAGGTGCATTGCCCCACTCAAATGCAAACGCTCCTGCACACACTGTTTCCTCTGACCTGACATCACTTACACACACACACACACACACACACACACAAAAAACCGCCTTTGTCCGCCCCCCATTTCAAGCTTTCATAGACCACATACTTTGCTTCCTACCACACTTGTAACTTTACATGCATTTGAGTTATTATTTGGTTAACATCTCTCTCTGCCACTGGACTATAAGATCCAAGAGGGTAGGGACTTCCCTGGCAGTCCAGTGGTTAAGACACCGAGCTTCCACTGCAGGGGGAGTAGGTTCGGTCTCTGGTCAGGGAACTAAGATCCCGTATGCCTATTGGCGTGGCCAAAAAATAGAAAATAAAAAGATCCAAGAGGGTAGAAGCCATGGAAGATTGTCCCTCACTCCTCACCACCGTAAACAAGGCTGTGATTGACATCTTCATACATGTACCCTACGTGAAGACCTCTAATATATATGCCCAGGTGCGACTACCAGGTGTGGATGTCCAATTCGCATAGACTGTGCCCCTGGTTCTCTCAGGTACAACTGGACTTGGGTTTGAAGGGAGCAAAGCACCTTCAGGATTCAAAGGAAGCCAGGGCATTGGAGAGGGGACAGGTAGCAGAGGTCAAATCCCATGTGGCCTGGGAGACCGTGGGAGGAATTTGACCTTCATCCTAAGGCCTGTTGAGGGGAAGGTTTAGAAGGATTCCAAGCAGGAATGTGACATAATCACATTGAGATTTTGAAACAATCCTGGGAGTATGTGAACAAGTCTGTGTCCACCAGGAGCAGGTCAGGGGCCCCACGTCCCATGGCCCTGCCAACACTTGGCATTATTCAGATTTCAATTTTTCCCAGTGAAACAGATACGCAGTAACGTTTATTGCTTCATTTTGCGTTTCGCTGATTATAATGATTTTGAACATTTTTAATGTGACTGCTGTTCAATCAGCATTTGTTGAATGAACAAGGGAATCAACCCTTCCCTCCCTGGGCACATGCAGATTCTGCACTTCTGGTTTTTAACTAACACCTGGCTTAAAAAGATCCTTCCCCCAAATGCCATGTTCTATCTATCATTTGGACATGACCAAAAAGCTTAATTTTACTTTAAAAAAAAAAAAAGAAAGAAAACCTTGCAGGTAGGTTAAAAGTCAACTCCTGGCTCACAGCTGGCCTACCTGGAGCGAGCACTCCACTGCGATGGCTGTTTGGATACCACACAAATGGTCTGGAGAAACCTCCAGGTCACGTGTGCTTGCACCTTCCTACCACCTTTCCATGGGCATCACTAACACCTGCCCCAGCTGTGCTGATTCTTCAGTGTGTTGCCAGAAGAATAAAAATAAAAATAGAACCCTGGTGATCCAGTGGTGAAGAATCCAGCTTCCAATGCGGGGGACGCAGGTTCAATCCATGGTCGGGGAACTGGGATCCCACATGCTGCGGGGCAACTAAGCCCGCTCACCACAACTACTGAGCCCACGCGCACTGGAGACCACGTGCCACAACTAGAGAGAAGCCCGTGTGCCGCCACCAAGACTTAACACAGCCAAATAAATTAATTAATTAAAAAGAATAAAAATAAATAGCCACAGACAAGTCCTGAGTTCCCGCTGGCTCACATTCTCCCTGAAATCCAATTTTCTAAATGAAGTGGAGAAACAGATCATCTATAGCTTTCAGCCCTGGTGCCTGAAGGGGAGGCTGGGAAGAGGAGGTGGTCATGGAGAGGCCACTGATGCCCAAACCCTGAGAAGAGCCTGAAGCCAGGGCTACCCCCCGGCCCTCTGCCCACCCAGGAGCTGCTGTCCCCCACAACCTTCCTTGTGCTTCCGATATGGTAAAATTGGTTATTTTTACCAATACCAGCTGCATTGCTGTCCTCAGAGTCACCCCAGCCCCCTACCCTCTGTCTTCTTTCCTCACCACACTATGAAACAAGGGGGCCACTGTGACCTTCTGATCGCCATATTCAACAGCCTCTTCTTCGTGTAACATGAAGAGTTCAAGGGTCCCTGGGTTCCAGCCACTTGCTGGATGATTTGGGAAAGTGATAATCTCTCTAAGCCTCCAATTCCTTACTAAAAAAGCAAGTCCTGCTTGCCTAAAGTGTTGTTTCAAGGCCCCAGAGAGAAACACCTTGAATATTATAGCTTGACAACTATGGTAAAACAACCACTGGGCTAAGGCCAAATGCCCAAGCCAACAGAAGATGGTACGACTCCCCTGTTCCCTTCATGTCCATGATATGGGCCTCTCCTGGTTCTGCCCCTTCCGCTGGCCTTTTTTCTTTGGCCTCTCTCATGGGATCCCCTTTCTCCTCCCCTGGTCCTCTGAAAGTTCTCACATCTTTGGTCTTCCCCTCTTAGAAGCCTAGCTACTCTCACGGCTGTAACTGGTACCTCCAGCCCCAATCTCTTACTCAAGCTCCAAACCCATAATTCCAGCCATCGGTTCCACTCATTCACCAAGATGCCCTCTTGGTCACTCAAAGTCATCGAGGCCAAAACTGAACTCATTGTCTTCCCTCCACCTACAAAGAGCCCTCTTGCAGTTCTTGGTCTCGCTGCTCTCCCAAGCATTCAAGTTCAGAACCCTGGGGCCACCTTCAATACACCTCCTCCTCCTCCCAAACACCCCACTGGTCTGTTTACCTTCCCGGCATCTCTAGCTCCTGACCCCCTCCGTCTTTGCTGCTATTACTTGGCCCAGGGCCTTACCTTCCGACTAGACTATGTCAACCTCTTCCCACAACTGACCTCATAACTCATGCAGCTTCCAGAACCTACTCCCTAAAACTACACTTTGACCCTATTTCCTCTCTGCTCAAACCCTCCGAGGTCCCATGGCCGACTGCTCAAGCATCAGCCCTCACCTTATCTTCCACAGACCGACCCCTGATGCTGGTCCCAACTTCCCCCCGTCTTATCTCTCCCTCGCGCTCACGTGTGTCCCCAGAGGACTTACCTTGGTGACCGATGAGTATATGCCTTGTGCATTTTAGTCCCTGGACCGCTGCTCCACCCCTAAAACCCTCCACCTCACTTCTTTTTTTTTTTTTTTTTTGCGGTACGCGGGCCTCTCACTGTTGTGGCCTCTCCCGTTGCGGAGCACAGGCTCCGGACGCGCAGGCTCAGCGGCCACGGCTCACGGGCCCACCCGCTCCGCGGCATGTGGGATCTTCCCGGACCGGGGCACGAACCCGTGTCCCCTGCATCGGCAGGCGGACTCTCAACCACTGCGCCACCAGGGAAGCCCCTCAACCCCACTTCTGCCAGTAGAATCCTCCTCAAACTCAAAAGTTACCTCCTGCATTGAGTCTTCCCCAATTCCTCCCAAACGGAATTCCTCCAAACGGAAGAGATCCTTCCCTTTTCTGAACGAGCAGGGGTTTTTATGGTTCTGATACGGCAAGTCTACCAAATATAGTTATTTCATCTCAGTAAACATGAATGGTACCTACTTTGTATCAGAACGGTTAGCTACTAGGGATCAGGGCCTAAGATACAGTCCCTACTCTTTAGGAGGTCACAGTCTAGAGGGGAGATTTAACACATTTTTGCATAAATCCAGGCCCAATGACCATAACTGTTTTAATACAAGTGTAAACAACCCACTTTGGATATAGGAGATTGGGAAGGATGGCAAATTAATCTCAATGGAGTGATGAGAAAAAGCTTCGTACCAAATGCAACGTGCAGACCCTGACTGGATCTTGACTTGGACAAACCAATTGTAAAAAGACATTTTGGGACAATCAGGAAAAAGTGAACATGGATTGAATATTAGATGTTATGAAGGAATGATTGTTAATGGTTAGGTTAATAATGGTATTGTAGTTAGATTTATTTTTTTTAAGTGTTTCTCTGTTGGAAATACATACTGAAGTATTTTCAGATGAAATGAAATAATATCTGAGGTTTTCTTTAAATTATTCCAGCCAAAAAGGGGAGGAAGGGATAGATCAAATCAGAGTGGCAAAGTGGTGATAATTATGGAGGCTGGGGCTGGATGCATTAGGACCCCTTGCACTATTCTCTCCAGTTTGATGTCTGAAATTTTCCATAATCAGCACATTTCAACTGGTTTCCCTCGTAGATTGTCAGCTTCTCTGGGGCCCATCCTGTGTCTGGTTCATCTTTAGGTTACAATCTCTAGCCCAGCACTGGGACAGAACTGGTGCCAATGAGGTGTTTATAAATGTTCTGTTACAAATTTCTTCTGCGACCGTGACAGCCCTGCTGAAACTGACCATGACCAAGGGCCTGGGTGAAGGACAGCAGGAAGCGTGCATGACCTGGAGCTGTTTTTCGGGAAAAGCATGAAGCAAGTCAGGACGGTGATGCACCCTTGAGGCAATGCTGCTACGGTATGTCTTCTCCTGGCTCGAGTGCTTCGGCCTGAGAACACCGACAGGAGGCTGAAGGGGAGCGGGGCAAGGAGAACTCCCATCTTTTGTTCTAGAAAAGGGAAGCTGAGACCTGGTACAGAGAAATGGGCTCCACACGTGACAGCTGGCTTACTGTTCACCACTTACTTCTGCCGCCAGCCTGGAGCTCCAGTGCCCTGCACAGCAAGGCAGTCGGAAGACCTGGGTGAAATCTCAGCTTTGCTCCCGACTTGCTGTGCAATGCTGGACGGGCACTGCCTGTCCTGGGCGTCAGTTTACCCATCCGTGAAATGAAGGACATGGAGGAACGTTTCCCTGACCCTGCCGTTCCCGAGGTCCCCAGTCCCACTGCTTGACTTACCACATGGTGTGATGGTCCGAGAAGACGTCTTCGGGCTGGAAGATCTCGCCGTCGTAGTAACAGGGGCACTGGGCCTTGGGCACACAGGCCCCGGTCTCATCCAGGTAGAGCCCTAGCGGGCAGAAGCAGCCCTCCAGGCAGACCTCAGTGCATTCCTCGTCCGGGTAAGAGAGGGAGCGGCAGGTGAGGTTGCAGGGGCTCCCACACTGCAGGTACACCTGGCCTCGTGGGCAGCTCAGCGCTGAGAAGAGAGGGCGGGGGAAGGACAGCCTCAGTGGAAGCATTAAGATGACCAGGACTGTGGTTCTAGGACCGGGGGTGCCACCCCTTGCCGCTGGGACCCCCAGTCATATCCGTACAGTCACTGCTTCTCTTCCCACTGTGAGCAAAAGTGTGTTTTTATTTTCACGAACGTCTGTTTTAATCACGGACGTACACGTTTTCTCCTCTGCTTAACCAGGGGGACCATGCTTTGGTCATCTCTGAATTCTCAAAGCCTGGGACATAGTAGAAATCCTGGTGGATTTTAGGGCTGTAAATATTCAAAAGGACTGGCAGGGATGGGCAAGGGCATTTCTTCCCTGATGATAATAACAATAACAGCTCCCTTAACTGAGCACCTACTGAACACCCTGCTCTTCACCGTGGGTTTTATGCCTTGGCTGCCTCTCAGTGCATTAGATCTCACAACCCCGCCCCCCCAGAGGTAAGAAACCTGAAACTTAACTTAGTGACTCATCAGGGTCACGCCTCCCAGGCAGAGGCCGAGGCAGGATTTGAACCCAGCTCTCTGTGACCCCAAAGCTCACGCTCTTAACCATTATGCTCTAGAAAGGAAATGGTCCCCTAGGAACCAGGCTTTGGGGACGTGACGGTCACAGAGAGCAGGGACACCCTTAGACCTGCCCCAGCCACGCATGCAGCGTCCACCTACCCACAGCCCTCACCCCACCCCCCGGCCTCCCACACAGAAACGGCACAACAGACACAGGCTGACAGGAAGCACGGCAACGCGGCAAAGCAGCTAAGGAGTGAGTAGGCGCCGGATCCCCAATTCCTGGGTTCAAGTCCCAGTGCCACCTCTAGTTAGCACTGTCCTCTCTGGAATATAAAAATAACGTCCACCTGGGTCGCTATGAAGATTAAGTGAGCGTAGAGCCCAGCCTGGCAGGGGGTGAATGTTTGTTGCTTTATGGCCCTTGTGATAACAGGGGAAATGCAGTCCCAGCTCCACAGGCTCCAGACAAAGGTCCTCTCCTAAGAGGACCCAGCATTCAGCCCACTCTGCACTCACGGCCCTCTCGCGAGCACCCTGATGATGGAATTCTTTACTGGGGGGTGGGGGGTGTTGGGGGAGGCCCTAGGCTCTTTCACAACACTTTCTCGTTGCTGATCAGCTGTCGTCCAAGAAATGAGAATCTCACTGGGGACACTCCTCCCGGGACCATTAGAACCCTTCCCCTCCCTGTCAGAAGCCATTTCTACAGCAGAAACCCTCTGGCTGTGTTCCACAGGAGCTGGAAAGGGAAAGCCTGGCCATGAACCTCAGAAACGGCCAAGCCCTGCAACCTCCCTGCCTACAACTGCTCCGGGGGTGGTGTTTGAGGGGAGGGGTTTTAACCATATGAGACACAGGCTTTTCTCTGAACCAGCGGAGAGGCTGGGTCATTGGATGAATATTTAGAGCTAAGGCAGATCATAAAGATGGTAATCCCATCCAATCCATTGAGCCTACGCCTAAAAGGGCAATTTCCCCCACCCAGAAGGAGCAGGAAGGCTTTTCTCTCTGCGGAGCTGGCCCGGAGCTGTGTTAAATTGCTCCTTCTTCCCCGGAGGTAAATTGCATCAGTTTAGCAGATGTTGGCTATGTGTCCACAGCGTGGCAGGGGCTCTGCTAGGCTGGGGGATGCAGAGACAGTAAGACTTGGTCCCTGCCTGCCTGCCAGAGTCCCGTGGTCTTGTCTTTCCAAAGGAAGCATAACCAGTTTACAAGGAAAAACATGTGTTGTGGGCTTCCTTGGTGGCGCAGTGGTTGAGAGTCCGCCTGCCGATGCAGGGGACGCGGGTTCGTGCCCCGGTCTGGGAGGATCCCACGTGCCGCGGAGCGGCTGGGCCCGTGAGCCATGGCCGCTGAGCCTGCGCATCCGGAGCCTGTGCTCCGCAACGGGAGAGGCCACAACAGTGAGAGGCCCGCGTACCGCAAAAAAACAAAAAAACAAAACATGTGTTGTGCTTCTCCGGACTCTCCTCACAGCACCCTGCAAAGCAGCTACGCAATCAGGCCTTGCTCCAGGAGTGTCCCCCAGTGAGTGTGGCCTCTTCTTGGGGATGCAGTTAATGGTTTAGGGAGTCTGTTCATTGCTCAGGAAGGGAACATGAGGTGCAGGATGAAGGTAGGAACCCAGGCATCCCGCCTACCTTCCTCCGGTCTCAGAGGGACAACCCGTGACCACCTGGCTGGTTTTCACTGGTTCAACTCATAGAGACAGACTCCTCTTGTCCTGAAAAGTCTCCAGGGACAGGTCCTTCCCACCACCCACACTTCCTGCCTCAGGAGCCAGGAAACTCTAAACAAAGCTCAGCGCCCGCTGCTGCGGGGTCAGCTCACCCCCTCTTGTTCTGTTCTGGGTGGAGGTTAAGAACAGCTGCTCCTGAAGTTTAAAGAATATTTCGGTAAGCCCTCAGCATGCTGGGAGACTGTCCTAAATTAGGAAATCCCTCGGATGCTGTAGCACAGGGATGATGCATAATTTATAACATTGGGGGACAACCAAAGCACAGTCACAGACAGACGCCACTTACTCCAAATTATTCCCCCAATTTCTGAACAGCAAGTGCTGATAAGGGTTTTTGGAGGGTGAAGTAAAGCGCTCGAAGCAAGTTACCCAGAGAGGTCCCAGCCTCAGTTCTCCCAGCTGCTGGCCCGTGACCCCGTGACACCCCAGGGCTAGAGGGACAGGGGCACCACCTCACACATCTAAACACTTGTTCCGTTTCGTCCTTACTTTGTCTCTGCTTCTTGTTTTTATAAGGTGGCTTAGACTCAAATCATAAGTTGGCTCATTTGACCCCAAACAGTGACACTTCTAGAGCCCCTAAACCTAAACTTCTCTTCAAATACATGATTTTGAGACCTTTTACCGTTTCTTGTAGTTCCTATTTTCCTGCTCTGTCAGAACCACTGACATTTTAGTCTCCAAACGCATCTACTTTGCCCTATAAATCACAGTATCCACTAGACCTTATCCTCCTTGAATGCCTTCACTTCTAGGCATCCCAACTATTATTCCACCAACAGAAACAACATTTTTGTCAAGAAAGTGCCTTTTAAAAGCCTGGTCAAGGGCACCGCCTCCAGAAAGCCTTCCTTGGTTACCCCGACCTTAATCTACTAATTCTCTTGCTCAGTGTGACAGGCACCTAGTAGGCAGGCAGCTTCCATCTGTGCCTCAAAAAGGAAGGTCGAGGCCCTGAAGCACTGCTACAGCCTCACCACGCAGGGCACTCGGCAAATGTTCCCAGAGCGACAGTAACAACCAGCCAGGGACCAGAGTGTGGGGCAGATACTAACTCCGGTGCCAGGCATCTAACAGCGCAGGGTGGGCCTCTCACGTCGTCTGGGGACAAGGATGTTGTTCTGCTTTATATGACTCGCAGTGCTGGAGACGTGGGCGGGGACTTGCCCCGACGGTTTGCCTGAAGTTACAAGCAGAGAATTGGTACCTGCATCTCCCATCACTTCCTCAGATCCTCCAGGGATGCAGGGACCCACTGACTCCTCAACCCGGCCCTACATGCATCCCACGCTAGGTGGCAGCAACCACAGGAAATCTCTACCAGGCAGGGACGCCAAGGTTCTAGGCCCCCAGGTAGGGGGTCAACCTGCCCTCCAGGTACAGGTCCGTCCCCATCGCCCTGTCCTTCGGGGAGATGAGAATCGAGAGGAGACGGGAGGGGATGCCCTGGGCCCGTTCAGACAGCGCTCTGAACAGGACCAGCGCGGAGGCCGCAGGGCATCCGAGCGGATCCCGCTAGGTGGCGTGGCGTTGGAAGGGCGGCGGGCGGGGAGGGCACTCACCGCAGAAGCTGGGCTCCCGCCAGCCGATGCGCACGCCTCTCCGGGCACAGGCCGCCGCGTAGTTGGCCACCGCGTCGCACAGGCAGTCTCTGCCGTTGGTGCAGGAGCACACGTCGTAGCGGCAGTTCTGCAGGTAGGGCAGCGGGCCCACGGCGCCGTGGCAGGCCTTGAACTTGGGCGACGTCAGGATGGCGCAGGACTCGTCCGCGAATCTGGCTGTGGGGAGAGGAGCGGCGTGGTCTGAGGCGGCCGCAGGCGATGCGCGCGCGCGCGCACCCCAGGGTCACCGGCTCCGGCTGGAAATCCCCGTCCCCGCCCCTCCCTCGCTGCAGCAGCGGTAAAAACAAATTCTCTCAGGTCTGGGAATCATGGCGATTTTTCTTCCACAACCAATCTACTTTCCTGATGGCTTAAATACGTAATCAACCACATTTCCTAGGGAGAAACGGTTCCCTGATGAGTAAGAGGGTATAAGAGGGGGCAGTCGATGTAGGCCTGAGGACGCTACCGCAGACGAATCTGCGCATGGCCAGCCCCGTGCATCTATCTTACGATAATTTAATTGCTGCTCCAAGAGACCGAGAGCGTCCAGGGGAAGAACTACGGGCTACTCTTTTCTTTCCCAGGGTGTGGCCCACGGAGGGTGCTCAATAAAGAGATTTTGAAGAATAAATGATCCAGATGAAGATCATCAAATGCTGATGGTGAAAACAAAGACCCACCTCCCCCAACGGTGGGCGCACCATCCACGGAATGCACCGGAACCCGGGGGAATCTCAGGGTTCTGGGGGCGCGCCTGCCCCTCCCCTCCCCCGTGGTGGGCGCACCGTCCACGGAATGCACTGGAACCCGAGGGAGACCCCAGTCCAGGTCTCACATACTCAGGCGCGGGTTGAGGCTGCAGGGGTCGCTGGGCTGCTTCTGCAGGTCCTCGCAGTCCGCACGCAGCTTCCAGGAGTTTCCGAAGTGCTCCACCAGGGGCTCCGCCAGGCCCGCGGGCGTCAGGAAGTCGTCCCCCTGGTTGCCGTTGTAATTCCCGCACAGGCCGCACGTCCTCCCCGAGTAGACCGGGGACAGCTGCGGGGGACAGACCACCTTGGAGCAGCCGCCAAAGCAGCCACAGCTTCCTTGCTCTCATGAGATGGTTTTCATCAAAACCGATCCCCAGGTGAAAAATAAATATGAATTTAATAAACCACAGCTAAGCCCTAGGCTGCAAAAGAAAATAAAACAGGAACTGCAGTATCTTTACCGGCAGCTCCGTGCCCCCTCTTAGATCCTTTGAGTCAGAGACCTGTCCTGCAGGAAAGGGTTTAGAGATTATCCTGTCACTTAAAGACAGGGACACAGAGAGGGACAGCAACTTGCCTGAGGTCACAGAGCTGCGACCAGTGGATGGGCGGAGCTCCATCACCCTGCCTGTCAGAGGAGATGCCCAGGGGCATGGAGTGCAAAGCCAGCGCCCCTTTCTTGCACACTTATCTCTGCCACACACATGGGCGAAGCAGGCTGAGCTGTTATGGTGCAACTCTTCTTAGAACATACATTGGGTGACAAAGAAAAACACTTTCCTAACTTCTTTTTATTTTTTTTTAATTTATTTATTTTATTTATTTATTTTTTTGGCTGCATGGGGTCTTCGTTGTTGTGCACAGGCTTTCCCTAGTTGCGGCGAGCAGGGCCTACTCTTCATTACAGTGCACGGGCTTCTCATTCTTCCTGGACCAGGGCTCGAACCCGTGTCCCCTGCATTGGCAGGCGGATTCTTAAACACTCAGCCACCGTCCCCCTTCCTAACTTCTTGATTTTGACTTGGCCACTGAGCATCACTGAGGAAAAAAGGCCCCGAGCCAAGAGGACCCCGGGGGTTGTGATCATGATCAGAGGAGGTAGGGTCAGCGAGGACCCGAGGGCAGCCTGCGAGGGTGAGCAGGGGGGGATGCAGGCCACCGGCACGTGGCTTGTTCTCCTGCTTCTGAGTCCGGGATGCACATTCAGGAACGTTTTGGGGAGTCAAGCCTGTCTCTCACACGGTACAGCCGGGGGCATCTGCTAGTGTCTATTGAGGGGGGTCCTGGTTCAAACTGGAGCAGAAGCTGGGAGCCCAGGGCCCTGACTCTTGCTCTGCAATTTACCAGGGTTAAACTGTGGCTGCGGAACCTCCCTGTGTCCTGATGCCTGCTCGGGCCGGGCTCTGTGAGGTCATCTCCTGGAGCCCCTTCCAGCTCTGACTTGACAAGATGCAGGATCAACAATCTAGTGAGGGTCCCGAACCCACATAAATCGAACCCAAGTAAATATCATTCATAAGAAAGAGGACGGAGTGGCGTTTCCTCGTTTGCTTGACAAGTAGCAAGTGTTGGCGCGTCAGGCCCCAGCCCTCCCCTGACCTCGCAATGAAAACGTCAATCCTCCCCACCTAGCACTTCCTGCCCCTCCTCTGCTTGCCCTCTCTCTCCCTGCCAGGATTTATCACCTTCTAACACGTGACACAGTTTCCTTGTTGGTCTGCTTACTGTGCGTCTCCCCCCATTAGAATTTAAACTAAACAAAGCCAGGATTCTGGTCCGCTTTGTTTCACTGTTGGACCTCGGCCACCAGTTCGGTGCGTGGATGGTTGAACAGTGTCTGGACGGATTCGTGAGTGAGCGAGGCTCCCCTCTGGACGCCGACACCCAAGGCCAGCCCCGGCGAAGCAGTGAAGCCGGGGAGGCGTCTGTCCCCTCACCCCCGTCTCAGTGTCCGCTCTCTTCCCTCCTAGTTCTCAGGCCCTGAGCACCTCAGGCTCCCCAGGTCACCTCTGGCACACCCACCAGGTCTGCCGTCTCCACCCTCCCCCACTCTCTACGCCTGTCTCCTTCCATCCCCGGGGCTTGTCTCAGAGGTTGGCTCAGCAAGGGTTAGGAGGGTGCGCGTGCTGGTGGGAGCCAGGCCAGGCTGCCCTCCTCCCGGCCCGCAGTGCCTCAACTGTCCGAGATCAGGGACTTGGAGAACGCACTTGCTATTCGCTATCTGAAATAGCAGTGTCACTTCTGACAGGATGAAAAGTGTCAGAGTCCCCTCTACTCCGCTTGGCCTAATGCCGAGCTGCGCCTGCATCACAGCCAGCAGGGCCCCGCTGCCTGAACCTCGGGACCCGTGCCTCACCCGGGGAGCCACTGGCAGCCCCTCATCCCACCATATCTAGCTGGGGCCCCCCGGGGGGTGGGGGCCCCGCCCTGCCGCTCCCTGCCATCCTAACCTCCAGCAGGGGTCTTCAGCTCGGCGGTCCCCACAAACCCCGGGGTCAGCATGGGGACACGTTCCCTCCACCCCATCCACAAACGCCCCCTTTCCTCCTCCAGCCGAAACACATAGCGCATTCCCCAGGCCCCGGGGTCGTCTGCCCCATCCTGAGTCTTGACCAGGGAAGGCTTCTTCTCTTTAGCCAAACTGACCAAACACAGCCCCAGAGATAACCCTGCAACTCATTCCCACAGAAACAAGTCCCCCTTCTCTCCTCAGAGGAGACAGATAAACCTGAGGCAGGGAGATCAGCCACCCAAGACAAGACCAAGATATATGTGCCTGCTGAAGGCGGGGAGGGGCAGCTGACAGATCAAGACCCTCTCGGTGTGGTGGGAGATGCCTGAGAAAGTGGGACGGCTGACGGGGGCACCACCCTCGAAGACCAGGGTGCAGGAGACCCAAGTTCTGCCCTCACTCTGCAACCAGATGACTGGGAGTCACTTTCCTGCCCCAGAAAAGGCAGGATCTTTATTTCCAGCTGCACTTGAGGGGTTGATAAGATGTCCAAAAACCTTCATGTTCTATAGTGTGTGGTCACAGTTTTATTTTTTATAACAGAAAGAAAAAGGCGTTAACTTGGAACTTTCTCAGGGTCTTCAAAGACAAGAGAAAGAAAGAACATGACATCACGAGGATGGAGACCACCAGGATGTCATCGAGGACACCCCAGGCGCCCATCACGGGATCATACCGAGGGCCTATGGAACACGGAATCTCCAGAAGCAGGAGGGGACACTCCAGGGATCCTAATGTATTCAGGGCGGGGGTTCTCAAAGCGTGGACATGGGACCCATGGCAGGGGGTGATCCCTGAGACCCTTTCAAAGGGTCCACGAGGCCAAAACTATTTTCATAATCACAGGAAAACGTTGCTTGGCTTTTTCCCTCTCATTCTGTACAAGTGCGCAGTGGACTTTTCCAGAGTCTGCACGACAAGTAATATTGCAGAAGACTGAACCCAGAAGCAGACGAGACTCCAGCTGTCTTCCATTAAGCCAGCCATTAAAGAAATTTGCAGAAACATAAAACAATGGTATTCTCACTACCTAACTTTGTTTCGGAAAACAGATTTTTTAATGTTTATATCAATGTGTAGTCGCTTTACTATTGTTATTTTTTAATGAATTAATAAATGTCTCTGATTTAATTTCTAATCTGGTAAATATCAATGGCTATAACCTCCATAAAAGATCTCGGGGTTCTCCATAATTTTGAAGAGCGCAAAGGCATCTGAAGACCTAAAAGTGAGAAGCGCTGGTCTACTGGGGGTGACACTGCCCGGGGAGCTGATCGGGTGCGCAGTCCTGGGCGCGTCTCCCAGCCCCCATGAGCCTTGCTTGCTTCGTTTATGAAATGGCAGTGACAATACCTTCTAGGGAAATTTCCAGAGGGAAAAAATGTATCTGGAAGCCCTGTGAAATATATGGCTCCCTCTCCAAGCATGACTCTAGGGCCACAGAAAGCAGAGGAAGTGGCCCCTAGGCTGCAGAGGCCCCGGGACCACGGGAGGGATTCGGTAGTTCCCAGGACAACCTTTCACAGGCAGTGGGTACAGGACACAGGGTCTTGGGGCTGTGAGTCCCACTGTGAGCGCCCCGCCCCGGGGAACACCCCCTGATTCCAGGCCTGGTTGCAGCCAGGAGCCTGGGCAGCAAATCAACTGCTTCCCCAGCCCCGCATGAGCCCACCCAGTCCGGACACCCCTTGGGGTACCAGAGCCCAGCACCCGGGAACTCCCGGGGTGAACAAGCGGCGCCCAGACAGCAAACACCAGCCTCTTATACACAGAGAGGCCTGTTCCTCACTCTGGGGGCGCAGGGCCGGGGGAGAAAGGAATTCCCCTCCCACCCCTGAGCTCTCCCCCCAGAGCACAACGGGGACTTTGTAAGGTCTGGCTGCAGGGTGGCCGTGCTCAGGAGGGCACCTACCTTCACCAGCAGCCTCCCGCGGCCGTCCCAGTCTATCTGCAGGTCCTCCCCGTAGCTGAGGTGCACGGAGGCCATCACGGTGTGCTGGATGCGGAGGTCACCTGGAACCCAGCAAGGACGGGATTTAGGCTAAGATGGGGAGAGGGCAGGAGAGCGGCAGGCAGATGGATCGTAGGGAAAGATGGGGTATCTCACAAAGGACTGTAGCAATGAAAGCAGTGAGTTAGGGGGCAGCTGGGGATGTCCATGAGGCTTAAGGTGGGGGGGGTGTCTCAGAGGCAAGGTGATCAGGGTGGGTGTAGTGCAAATCGGGCTCCCCCAGGAAGGCGCCTCCATATCTATCCCTGCTGTAGCCTGCCATTCCCTGTACTGCCACAAGGGGGAAGCAGAGGCTACTGCATCCTTAGCTGAGGCAGGTGCCCTGAGCCTGGGTCCGTTTCCCATCGAACCCCTCACCCCTGAGCATTTCCTGGGCCCCTCTGCTGTTGCACATGTTTCCAGGCTAAGTTACTCAGTCCTCACGGCTGACTGGTGCTCTGCGCACAGCTGAAACGGCAGTTTTCTCTGGGGAAGAGGTAGGAGGCATACCTCTTCCCCGGAGAGACACACATAGCATTAACACACATAGGCACCCTCAAGTTCACCATGTGCAAAGCCGGGATAATGGGCCATGGGCTGGCCAGTGGTCTTGAAGAAGAAGAAGAAGAGGGGAGGGGTCTGGTAGCCCCTTTGAGGGTGAAGGTTGGAAACAGGCTGTGCAAAATGGTGCATAACAACCTGGCAAAGTCACTGAACAGGTAGATTTTCCTACAGGTCATGGGGTCATCTGGCTTTGCCCCATGACATCTTGGGGTCTGACCCATCACCAGCCACCCCGCCCCCAGCCAGCTTCCTCTGCTCCTCCTCCTCCAGGAAGCCTTCCTTTCTTGCAGGAGGCAGGCCAGGACACCCAGCCTGCCCTCCAAAGTTAGCTCTCCTGCACATTTGCGCAGAAGACGTGGCAGCGAGCACTGCTGAGAGGCGGGGGCGCTGAGGGTGAGCTGGGCGGGGGGCCTGTGGGGGAGGAGGGCACCCACCTTGCAGGAGGGGGATCTGGATGTCCTGACCATCCATGGCAACGCCTCCCCCGTGCTTCAGCTTCACGACGTTGCTGTGCTGGCTGGGCAGGCGGACGGTGACCGAGCGGGTGCAGACCGCGTCGGGGTCGTCGGCACACTGCCGGGAGGGGCACGCCGAGGGACGTCACCAAACCCCCGCCAGCTCTGCAGCCCAGCCCCCGACCCATCCACTCGGGGAAAGCCCTCCACCTACGCAGCCCTTCCCACACGGAACCACTCCCCGGTCCCAGAACCATCTCTGGGAAGGACCCGGGGTTATGCCACAGAGAGGCCCAAAGCCCAGGCCTCCCCCGGCCCAGCACCATCCTGCTCTGGTCCTTCATCAGGATTCTAGGCCTTGCTTGCCCTTGTTCCTTGGGCCTGTTGTTCCACAGGCGCTCAGGGTCCTCAGGGGAGCCCTGTGCGCCCTGTCTGTCTTCCCCTTTGCTCGGCTGTCCAGAGGAAGAACGCGCACACGGGGCCATCTTGCCCCCCTCACCCCCGCGGTTGCCCTGGGGCTGCCTGGCGAGGCTCACCTGGACAGTCTCTATGATGATGGAGAAGGAGTGGTCCTGGCAGTCCCGGGCCAGCAGGTACTGGCAGACCCCACTGAAGGTGAAGTGCCTGTTGTCAAAGCTCTTGAAGTGGGATTGTCCTGTGATGAGACATTCCCCTGGGGGGACACAGGGAAGGGGAGAGTGTGTGTCCCAGCGGGTCCCCTGGTGGGACACAGGGGAGGGGAGAGTGGGTGTCCCAGTGGGTCCCCTGGGGGACACAGGGGAGGGGAGGGTGTGTGTCCCAGCGGGTGCCCTGGGGGACACAGGGGAGGGGAGAGTGTGTGTCCCAGCGGGTGCCCTGGGGGACACAGGGGAGCGGAGAGCGGGTGTCCCAGCAGGGCACCTCCTGGGGGTGCCCCTCACCACAGCCTATAAAGGGGCTCCACGGGAGGACTCTATTCAGGCCCCACTCCTCTGGCCCTGAGAGGTCAGGGCCGGCTGGGTCAGTTCCACGCCTCAGGGGAGTGACAGCCACACCCAAGGAGTGGCAGAGCCAGACCAGAACCCGTGGCTCCGGCTCTGCTCTCTGGGTTCACCGTGGCCCCCAGCCCTTCCCCACGGCCGCTCCAGGTTCTGGCTCTGCTGGGGCCAAGGGCCTCGGGCCTGCAGAGGCCTTTCTCTGCGCTGCCATTGTGGGCACTCCCCCCTCCACGAGAGTCCCTGAGGGCAAGAGGGCAGAAAGGCCGCCCAGAGCAGTGATGGGGGAAGGGAGAGCCCAGCAGTACAGGGGCCAGGACCCAATCCTCACCCCCTCGCCAGCCGAGGGGCAGCCCTCAGGCCTCCTCCTGGGCAAATCCATGCTGTGACTTCAGCTGGGGCCAATGGGGGCCCAGGACCCCATCTGCCCATGTTCCCACCACTGCCCGAGCCAGCTGACGCGTCTGGGGATGGGTACGAGGACGCCCCGGCATCACCCTGCCGCTCGAGCCCTAGACGCGCACCCACCCAACAGCTACTCCGTCCTCCCAGGCCCCAGTGCCGGCCCGTGGTGCTGGCCCAGTGCACCTCGGACCGCAGGTCGTCCGTGCTGGGCGAGGGGGGCTTTGCTAATGCCGCCAGTGACTCCCTACTGGCCCAACCCCAGCTCAGCCCACAGCAGACCCACTGAAGCCGAGGCCCGCATCTGGAACCCTCCCCAGCCTCCCTTTACCCGTTTCCTCTCCTCCTTGCCTTCTACTCTATAGAGAAAGCAAAGCAGACACACACCACAGCCATTCCATAAAGTAGGGGCCCTCCTTGCCCTCCCAGTGCCCCCTGGCCTCCAAAGAGCAGAGGATCATCCTCCATAGCGCCGCTCTGCTCTGCACCCCCAGTTCTCCCAGAAGGGTCCTACAGCCGGTCCCACCTGGACCCATCTCCAGGGGCTGATGCTGAACCCAGTCACACAGTCAGGGGCCCCCAAAGGCCTGAGAGGGGTTCCAGCTGTCCACCTGTCAAAGACAAGCCCCATCGGCCCCCTGCCTGCCACTTCATGCCCAGATTTGCACTGAAAGACACAGCAGGCATGGGGGGGCGGCGAGAGGAGGTGGCCGGGGGGAGGGGCAGGACCGGCTTTGGGTCCAGGTGTGGCCCTGCCCTTGGTATGTGCTGGAAGGCAGGGGGAGGGCGAGTAGCCCCAGGTTACAGTGAGCGTCCCTCTGCCTGGTCCCCAGAGCAATTAACCCCTTCTAAGATGGAGTGGGCCAGGAGGGCACACTCAGCCCAGAGAAATTAGGAGAAAATAGGGAGGCCCCAGATCATCCTCACCAGCGTCATCTTCTGTGATAAGAAGAAATATACATGTCTTTGTCCCTGATTCCTGACACAGAGCTTCTAGAGCCCTAGGAATGTCCTGGGTGAGAGGAGCATCTTGTGTTCTAATGAAGCCCCTCTTAGCGGGTCCCTCGAGAGCTTCAGGATGGGAACTGGTTACAGAAAGACCTAAGTATGATTAGAGGGTTGGGACTTTCAGTCCCATCCCCCAAACTCCAGGGAAGGGAGAGGGGCTGGAGATTGAGTTAATGATCAACCAGGCTTAGGGACTTCCCTGGCGGTCCAGTGGTTGGGACTTCGGGTTCGACCCTTGGTCGGGAAGCTAAGATCCCACATGCCTGGCAGCCATAAAAACAAAACATAAAACAGAAGCAACATTGTAACAAATTCAATAAAGACTTTAAAAATGGTCCTCATCAAAAATATCTTTAAAGAAATAATAATCGTCAGTCGTGCTTATATAGTAAAACCTCCATAAAAACTCTTAATAAACAGAGTTGGGAGGGCTTCCAGGTTGGTGAACATATTTACATGTAGGACACCCCAACTCCACAGGGACACAAGCTGCTGTGCCCAGCGCCCTTCCAGAGCTCACCCTGTGTACATCTCCATCTGGCTGGTCATTTGTCTCCTTTAGAATATTTTTTGTAATAAACCACTAATAGTATGTAAAGTGTTTGCCTGAGTTCTGTGAGCCATTCTAACAATTATAGCTGCCATCAGAAGCAGGAGCACGTGGACGGAGCCCTTCACCTGCGGGGTCTGTGCTAATTCTGGGTAGTCAGGGTCAGAACTGAACTGAATTGTAGGACACCCGGGTGGTGTCCAGAAAGTCAGAGGATTGGTTGTTGTCGGGGGGGGAAACACACACACACATGTGGTGTCAGAAGTGTGAGTAGAAGCAGATCGTGCCTCCCCATTGCATTGCCCCACAAGGAGGGCACGAGTGACGGGTCACTGTTTGTGGAAGTCCGAGCAGAACAGGCAATGAGTTAGGGGCCAGGGTCATCCCGAATGATTGCAGCCCCGGTGGAATTCCAAATCCACGGGTGTCACAAGAAAGCCTTTTTAAAATGGCTATTTTTCGGAAGCCACCATCATTCTACAAACAGAATGACACGGCCCTTTGTATCACATGTCTTGACCCCATTGCAGTGCGATGGGTGGGAATTCCTCCCCCAACCTCTCTTTGTTTTCTCAACAGCACTCTTATCTGAGTAAGAAATTGAACTTGCATTATCTCTGACAACGCTCAGGAAAAGAGGGGTCAACGAGAAAATATGCAAACATTCGAAAGCAAAACTTCTGGGTCAGAATCTAATCCTCTGATCTGATCTCCTGCTCTGACCTCCCCCTGATTGGCGTTCTGGAGTTTCTCGGGAATCAGAAATCTAAATACTGTATTATATTTAGCTTATCTCCTTGGTACAATTGAGGGATGGGGCTGACCACACGGGAAACCCAGGAACACAGCTGAGTGAGGTGCTAGGGAGCCGTGGGCCCGGTGGCTGGAACAGGAGCCAGAAGAATGGGCCACACGTTGACACTCGCCCAAGCTCTGCCCAGAGGTCCCCAAGACGCCCAAGTTCTGCCAAGAGGATGCCCAAGACATTCCCAGACAGCTGGTCAGCAAAAGGCAGCCTGACAAGCCGCTGGCCACCAATGGACGCAGCAGGTGGGCAATAAAAGTTCGGTGAATGCGTGCAAAGCAGGTGATTCTTAAAATAGCAAATAGCATAAAACCAAGAACAGCCAGGAGTTAAAGCGAGTCCACTACATGAATAAGAATCCTCCCTCATGGAAAAAAAGAAGAGAAGAACAGTCTCTCATTTGATGGAAACATGTTACCTCTTCTAAATAAGCCCCTTTGTTCGCAGGAAAGGAGTCTCCACGGGGCTGTCCTGCTCAGCTCATTGGCTTCTACCCTTTTCCACGCGGCTACAGAAAGGCCAGCCCACAGGCCTTCTGCAAAGCAACTCAGGCTTCCTCCCAGCATAAATGTTCACCAAAGCCTGCCTCTAAATCACATTAACATAATCTCAACCAAACATGCAAGACGCATTTCTAAGTGCTCTATGGGCACTACCTCATTTACTGCTCTGGTGAGGCTGGCATTATTATTCCCAGTTTACAGAAGAGAAAACTGAGGCACGGAGAAAATCTCGCCCAAGGCCCCAGAGTGGCCCAAGAGGAATTTGAACATGGGCGTTCCGTCAGACTCCAGAGTTCATAGCACTTGACACCGGCCAGTACTGCCGTATGGGGTGGCTGCAGTTTCCAACAAGTTTCATTTCATGGGGATACTGGGCACACGTGGCAAGTGCCAAGGAGCACAGGTACATCCAGGTCTGGACGCGGAGAAAGCAGAGGAAAAGGCGACGCATGGCCTGGCCTGAAGGAGGTCTGGTGAGACTGCAGGAACCCCAACGTGGAAGTTTATCTTCCTTCCCAGAGGCTTCAGAACAGCCAGCTTGAATCCCAAAGCTGAATGACAGGGATGGCTTTGAAGGCATCAGAAATTATCCCGAATCAAACGAGCAATGCGTTGCACCAAGGTCCTCCCTCCGGCTCCAGACCAGGCAGGTGCATGGGCCTCCATGCCACCAAGCCCAGGGAAGGCTCAGGCTCTGTCTTGCCTCCTGCCCCACCTGTCCCAGCCACACTCTGCGTTGCACCACCCCTCCCCATCCCGGGCTCCTTCGTGTCTCCATCCTTCTCTGACCCTGCTTAATGAAACAGCTCTGGCTGTGACGATGAAAACACCTAATGTTTACCGAGTACTTGCTGTGTGTCAAGTAACCACAGCTCTCATGGGATGAAGCTGCTGTTATCATCCTATTTGACAGATGAGGAAACTGAGGCTGCAAGTGGTCAAGCAGTTTGCCAAAAGTCACCCAGCTGGTAAGCCTACCAGGCTGAATCCACAGCTCACGCTCCCAGGCCCAGGACCACGCTACCTTTCCACGTTCACAGGACTTGGGCCTCAAATAAACTTCCCAGCTCCAGCCAGGAGTTTGAAATTCTGTCAGCACAGCTTTATTTGTTTGAGGAATAGTCCCTACTAACAGGCATGCTCCTTCCTCATTGATCCCAACCAAATATTTATGATTCAGTGGAAACTAAATTAGCAGAGCCCCAGGCACCTGGGGCTGCCCTAATCCTAACCAGAACAGAGGTGTGCCAGGAGCAGTGAAGGCCTAAGGAGCCTGTAACAGAAGCTCCAGCCCCTCTCCATACAGACCGATGCTCTCCTCAGTGATTGTTTTCTCCCTCTCACTCCCAAACATGAGGTTCTCTGTGCTACGTAGACTTTAAGGTCCCCCCGCTCCATGGTCCCCACCTCCTGTATTCACATCTTGTGTGA